GTCCTGAGGACAATTTTAAAGAAAACAAAACGAGTGTTTGCATAAATCGAAGAATTATTTCCTATGTTGTGATTGAGAGGTTATGTTGGGGGAGGGGGGCGATGACACCGTCCTCATTGGCTCAAGGGGGCGATTCGTTCAAAAAGGTGAAGAACCACTGTGCTAGACAATCAGAAGGTCACCAAAGGGGATCCCCGTGACCCCAGAACACAGCAGAGGTCATCAATATGAACCAGTTGCCAAGAAACCGAATTTTGATCACACGATCCTGGGGATGCTAGAAAAGTCGTAACTGTGAAAAACGGTCATAAGTTCTGTTTCTAAGTGCCGTTGTGACTTGAATGGTCACTAAATGAACTCTTGTAAGTCGAAGGTTACCCATATTCTACACCAGAGGTCACCAACCTTTGTCAGTTGGCAGACCGGAGGAAAAGGGAGGGGGAACCCATTTTACGTGCATGCGTGTGCGCGCATGGGGCCCTAAGCACGTGTGCGCCACAACGGGGTGGGGCTACCGCCCACATGATACTCGCTAGCCCTGCCCCGTTCTTGCGTGGCGCAGTGCCTTGTTTCTGCGTCCTGCAGCTGTTTTTGCACCTTGCAGGGCGGCGGTGGCCCGTTTTTGTGCCCCGTGGCGCAGCAGTGCCCAATTTTGTGCCCCGCAGTGCGACATTGGCCCATTTCTGCACGGCAGAGCAGCATCCATTTTTGCTCCTTGCACTTTGGCAGCGGCCCGCTTTTGCGCCCCACAGCGAGGTGGCGGCTCATTTTGGCATCCTGAGGCACGACGGTACCCCATTTTCGTGCCCCGAGGCACAGCGGCAGCCCGTTTTTGCACCCTGTGGTGCGTCCTGATTTTGCGCCCCGTGGCTGTGGCACTAGCCCGGGGGTAGGCAACCTTGTCTCTTTTATGACTCGTGGGCTTCAACTCCCAGAATTCCTGAGCCAGGAGCTGAGGGGAAAGGGAGAGGTTTCCAAGCTGAGCCATGCTGGCTCAGGAATTCTGGGAACTGAAGTCCACCAGTCATAAAAGAGACAAGGTTGTCTATCCCTGACCTAGATGATAGATAGATAGATTAGATAGATAGATAGATAGATAGATAGATAGATAGATAGATAGATAGATAGACAGACAGACAGACAGACAGACAGACAGACAGACAGACAGACAGACAGACAGACAGACGATAGATAGATACACCTAGATCAGGGGTAGGCAACCTTGGCTCTTTTATGACTCCTGGACTTCAACGCCCAGAATTCCTGAGCCAGCCATGCTGAGGGGAAAGGGAGAGGTTTCCAAGCTGAGCCATGCTAGCTCAGGAATTCTGGGAGTTGAAGTCCACGAGTCATAAAAGAGCCAAGTTTGAAGACCTCTGATCTAGGTGTATCAATCTGTCTGTCTGTCTGTCTGTCTGTCTGTCTGTCTATCTATCTATCTATCTATCTATCTATCTATCTATCTATCTATCTATCTATCTATCTATGCCAGGGATAGGCAACCTTGGCTCTTTTATGACTGGTGGACTTCAACTCCCAGAATTCCTGAGCCAGCATGGCTCAGCTTGGAAACCTCTCCCTGTCCCCTCAGCGTGGCTGGCTCAGGAATTCTGGGCGTTGAAGTCCACAAGTCGTAAAAGAGCCAAGGTTACCTACCCCTGCACTAGCGCAAGCGAGGGTGTGCGCACACACTGGCCAGCCTGTCCCGCAGCCCAGTGGCCAGTAGACCACGGCCCACTCCCGGGCCATTGCCCAAAGGTTGGGGATCCCTGTTGTACACTGCAATGTCTAAAAAAAGTCATCCTTGATATTTTTAGCACTCCTCACACACCTCTCAGCTCAATCTGAGTTTTCTCTTCATGATATCAGCCTACAGTTCAGGCTTTTGCTCCTGTTTGCGAATGGACCCTTAGCAGTTCTGACCTTGACTAAGTTCTTGTAAGGGCATATTGAATGTTTTCCGGCTTTCTCTCCCCTTTTCCCCCTTCACAGGACCTCCTTGCCATGTATACTTTGGGCAATTTTCTTTAGAAGTTCCCACCTGTTCAGAGTGTCTTATTTCCATCAACTTTCCTTGCTGTGGATTTATTTTGGGGCTATTTAGAGCTGTCCAAACAGACTCCGATGATGGAAAATATGTGCCTTTTGGAGCTGAAATGAGGGGCCCTTAGTGTTCTCTGAGAATAACAACAACAACAACAAAAAAAAAAGTTGGAAGGGACCTTGGAGGTCATCTAGTCCAACCCCCTGCTCAGGCAGGAAACCCTACACCATTTCAGACAAATGGCTGTCCAGTCTCTTCTTAAAGACTTCCAGTGTTGGAGCATTCACTGCTTCTGGAGGCAGGTTGTTCCATTGGTTAATTGTCCTCACTGTCAGGAAGTTTCTCCTTAGTTCTAGGTTACTTCTCTCCTTGGTTAGTTTCCATCCCTTGCTTCTTGTCCTGCCTTCAGCTGCTTTGGGGAATAGCTTGACTCCCTCTTCTTTGGGGCAGCCCCTGAGATATTGGAAGACTGCTATCATGTCCCCCCTCATCCTTCTCTTTGTTAAGCTAGACATATCCAATTCCAGCAGCCGTTCCTTATATGCTTTAGCCTCCAGTCCCCTGATCCTCTTTGTTGCTCTTCTCTGCCCTCTTTCTTGAGTTTCAACATCTTTTTTACATCGTGGTGACCAAAACTGGATGCAGTATTCCAAGTGTGGCCTTACCAAGGTCTTGTAAAGTGGTATTAACACTTCACCTGATCTTGATTCTATCCCTCTGTTAATGCAGCCCAGCACTGTGTTGGCCTTTTTGGCAGCTGCAGCACACGGCTGGCTCATGTTTAAGGGATTGTCCACTAGGACTCCGAGATCCCTCTCACAGTTGCTACTATTGAGCCAGGTACTACCTATACCAGGCAACTTTGGCTCTTTTATGACTCATGGACTTCAACTCCCAGAATTCCTGAGCCAGCCATGCTGAGAGGAAAGGGAGAAGTTTCCATGCTGAGCCATGTCGGTGTAGGAATTCTGGGAGTTGAAGTCCACGAGTCATAAAAGAGCCACGGTTGCCTATCCCTGCCCTATACTATATCTGTATCTTCCAGTGCTTAAGGGGCTGCCACAGAGAAGATGGGGGGGGGGTCCACCTCTTCTCCAAAGCCCCGGAAGGCAGGACAAGAAGCAACGGATGGAAACTAATCAAGGAGAGAAGCAACTTAGACCTAAAGAGCAAAAAAAAAAAGAAGTACTTTTTTTTCACACTGAATGACCATTGTATCATTTCCCCATGATCACACGATCAAAATTCGGACGCTTGGCAACTGACTCATATTTATGACGGTTGCGGCATCCTAGGGTCACGTGATCCCCTTTTGCCACTGGTTGACAAGCAAAGTCGGGGGGGGGAGGCCAGATTTCACTTTACAGCCGTGCTACTAACTTAACAACTACAGTGATTCATGTAACAACTGTGACCCCCCCCCAAAGGTCGTACAATGAGACGCAACTCACTCAGTAGCTACTTTGCTTAGCAGTGAACTGCCGTAAGTGGAGGACCGGAGAAACCCTTATCCCCACATCTAGCTAAGTGCCATTTTTGGCAACTTTGCCTGCTTGCTGCCAAACTGCTCGGAGGTTTTCATGCAGGGATGGTAACCCCAGGTGCTTTTTTTTCTTCCAAAAACTTCTGGGGAATGGGAAAAGGTTATCCTGTTCCTACGTTGGATAATGTCCTTGCATAAACTAAAAACAGCGAAACAGGAGCTACGCAATCCTTTGTGTTCCTGTCCTGACAAACCTGTTCTTAATCTGTACATTCTGTAAAAAACAAAACGAAACGTATGTTTTTGTATTAGGGATTCCAGTCTGGAGAATTATATGTGCTGTTTGTATCGGAACCGTTGTTCAGACTTGACTCATCCCAAAGAAAGTTTTATTTCTAAGGCCAAATTCTGCTCAGTTCTGGATACCCCATTTTAACAGGAATATGTATGTATGTGTGTATGTATGTATGTAGTGCAACACTGAAGTGCACTATTAGGGGCAGCGCAATGGTGAATAGAATGTGAAGGATGTGTGTATACCATGTATGTTCTTATTTGTGGTTTTTACTTGTGTGTAGTGTGCAATGTGGACAGCACTTAATTTCGTTGTGAGTTACACAATGACAATACAGATATTTTATTCTATTCTAGTCTATATTCTGCTCTATTCTATTCTGTTCTGTTCTATTCAATTCTAGTCTAGTCTTCCATTCCTTATTTTTTCTATTCTCTTCTCTTCTCAATAAAGATTCTACTCTACTCTACTGTATTTCGTTCCGTTCCATTCCATTCCATTCCATTCTATTCTATTCTACTCTACTCTACTCACTCTATTCCACTCCACTCCACTCCACTCTCTTATGTTCTGCTCTATTCTATTATTCTATTCTGTTCTGTTCTATTCTCAATAAAGATTCTATTCTATTCTATTCTATTCTATTCTATTCTATTCTATTCTATTCTATTCTATTCTCAATAAAGATTCTATTCTATTCCATTCCATTCCATTCTATTCTATTCTTATTTATCTTTTATGATTGTAAGCCAATTTTGAGATGGATAACCAATACATTTTATAAATAAATATACAGGTAGTCCTTAGGGGATCACGTGACACCCCCCCCCAGAATACTGCAGCTGTCATAAATATGAACCAATTGCCAAAGATCTGATGTGATCTCATGACGACCAAAACTGGATGCAATATTCCAAGTATAGTCTTGCTTATTGGAAGCCAGCTGAGACGGTCACACCGCTTAGCAACAGAGTTTCCGGTCCCAATTTATGGCAAGCAAGGTCTACCTGCAGACTGTCCATTGCCCTTTTCAGCTCTCAGGCAGATATAATACCTGTATGATTCTCGTGTGACACCATTAGCCGTGATATTGGGCTGGTTGCTGCTCGAATACGGCCGATCTTTCGTTCAGCCTCCAATTTTTTTTATTGATTTTGTCTCCCTCTTTTTTTCCCCAGATTGACGACATCGTTGATGGGGCTGTGAAGCCTCCCCCCAACAAATACCCCATATTCTTTTTCGGCACCCACGAGACGTAAGTGCCCACTTTGGGAGGTTTCTGTGGGTGAGTCGGGGGATATAAGCAGTGTGGGATCACCATCCCTTTCTCTCCAAACCCTCCCGTTTCTTCTTTGCTCTGTCTGTATCCTGCAGGGCATTTTTGGGCCCCAAGGACCTCTTCCCTTATGAGAAGTACAAGGACAAATACGGGAAGCCCAACAAAAGGAAAGGTTTCAATGAAGGATTGTGGGAAATCCAGAACAACCCTCACGCCAGCTACAGCGCACCTCCAGTGAGTCTGACGTCAGGTGGCCTGTTCTTGCAGCAGAAGAGGATCTTTGTAGCCAAGGGCTGAACTGCTGGATATTCTGGCTGGGGAATTCTGGGAACTGATATCCACTTCCTAGCCAGGGAATTCTGGGAATTGAAGCCCACTTCCGAGCCAGGGAATTCTGGGAGTTGACAGTCTAAACACCCCAGCTGGAGAATTCTGGAGGTTGAAGCCCACTTCCTAGCCAGGGAATAATGGGAGGTGAAGTCCACTTCCGAGCCAGGGAATTCTGGGAGTTGAATTCCAAACATCCCAGCTAGAGAATCCCGGGAGTTGAAGGTCACTTTCTAGCTGGGGAATTCTGGGAGTAGAAGTCCGCACACTTTGCATTTGCCAAGTTTGAAAAACTTTGCACGAGACTTCCAGCTGCTGTCATGAATCTGCTTCTCATTTGCCAGGCTCTTGACTCTGCATTCCTCAATTAAATTGAGTCATGTTCAGAGACCTCCCCACTTTTTCAACCACTGCTCTCTTTTTGTCCCTTTCTCTCCTTCCCTACCCCAATAGCCACTGAGCTCCTCCGACAGCGAAGTTGGCGATGTCGACCCCGTCAGTGGAGGAGGGGGAGGAGGAAGCGACGTTCCCGGGGAGGAAGGCTCGACCCCAACCACAGGGGTCGGCGCAGCAGGGATGACCGTGGAGAAGGCGGAGAGCGACGAGTCGGACAAAGGAAGCGATCACAGCAGCATGAAAAGGAAACCGTTAGCCATGAAAGTGAGCAATTTCCGGACGGTGCCGATTGGGAGCAGCACCGCTGTTGGTTCTCGGCTTTTTTAACCTCTTGACCCCAGGCCAAACCTGAATTGTGGTTGAGAACTTGGAAGCTAGTCAGGTCTGGATGGGGATGAACGAGAGCTTCATCCTGGCAACACAAAGAGCAGGTAGTCTTTAACTTACAACCATTTGTTTAACAACCATTTGAAATTACTGTGGCACTGAAAAAAGCGTTTTGCCACAGGTCCTCACACTTATGACCGTTGCAGTGTTCCCCACAGTCATGTGGTCAAAACCTGGCATCATGTAGCCTCCTCCTCACACTCTCGCCCTTTGCAACTTTCCCAGCCAGCTTCGAACAAGCAAAGTCAATGGGGGGAAACAATCATCAAATTACGAGCGACTCACTTAACAAGCAGCGATGGGTGTTCCGATCCCAATTGCAGTCGTAAGTTGAGGACTACTTGTCGCTCTGTGTCTTTAAAACCGTCCGCATTCAGGGAAGGTCCGTTTTGAATTCTGGAGGGAAGAGGCTCATTTTATAATGGGGGCGGGAAGCTGGTATTAGGCCAGGGGTCTTCAACCTTGGCCCTTTTAGGACTCGTGGACTTCAACTCCCAGAATTCCTCAGCCAGGCATGCTGGCTGAGGAATTCTGGGAGTTGAAGTCCACGAGTCCTAAAAGGGCCAAGGTTGAAGACCCCTGTATTAGGCCTTTTGCTCATCTCCAACTTGGAACCAGGCATCTTGCTGGCCATCCCCTCCCACCCTGGCCATCTCTTGGATAGACTACTGTAAGGCACTCTACATGGGACGGTCCTTGAAGACCGGCTGGAAGCTTCAGCTGGTCCAGGAGGCCAAGCTTCTTAGGCTGTGATGGGTGCCAGCTGGTTCACCCATTGGAATTCTTAATTGTTTATTTGCTTTCTCCGTCAACACAAAAAATGGCAAATTCAAACGAGCAAGATGACAAAAAGAAATTAAAAATCTGACGGGGACGATAGGCCCGTCAGTGCATTTACGCACCCCACCCCCCCTTAGGAACGTCTTAAATATGGGGTGAGGCCCGCAGAAGTTAAGTTAGATTTAAAACTCTGGAAGTTAATACCAGAGACAAGTGAATCGGGTAAGATATTCCAGACTTTGACAATTCTGTTACAACAGTGGTTCTCAACCTGTGGGCCGGGACCCCATTTGGGGTCGAACGACCATTTCATGGGGGTCGCCAAACAACGCAGTCCGCCATTTTTTCCCCCCTTTTCCTTAGCTGTGCTACTCCCTTTTATTCTATTGGCTTTTGAAAGCCAATAGAATAGACTCTCTTGAATAGAGTCTAATTCTATTGGCTTTCAAAAGCCAATAGGAATTGTCCAGGCTGTCTCTGCCCTGCTGAGCCCGCCAAAAGTCCCATTCTGCAAACGGTGCTGCACCAGTTGAGTAGTCCTCGACTTACGACCGGTTGAGTAGTCCTCGACTTACGACCGGTTGGGGGTCGCGGCATTAAAAAGGTTGAGAACCACTGTGTTACAAAAATAGGATTTTATTTTATTTTTTAAATCACGTTTAAAGCTGCTTAATTCCTCTGGGTGCAATTCGAGATGCTGGTTTATCACCTTGAATGCTCTTTAGGGCTCAACCCCTGGGCATTTGGGAGGGGGGTTGTTCCTCCTTCCAGAGGTCCCAAATGTGCTTTTTCACAAGGCAGCTGGACTTTTTTTCTCTTTGAAGACATTTCACTTCTCCTCCCAGAAGCTTCTTCAGCTCTGACTGGATGGTGGGGGAGTAGAAGGATTTATTCGCCTTGCAGACAGTTGGTCATTTGTCTTCTTTTAGAGAATCCTTGATGCCCACCTGGAGGCTTATCTGTGTCGTCAGGATCACCTGAGCAGTGCAGATGGGTGTGGAACCTTTTTTGGAACTGTAAAACAGAATTTCTCAAAGGAGGCAAATGACCGGCTGTCAGCAAGAAGTATAAATCCTTCCATTTTCCCCCACCATCCGGTCAGAGCTGAAGAAGCTTCTTGGATGAGAAGCGAAACTTCTTCAAAGGAAAAACAAGAAAGTCCAGTTGCTTCCTGAAAAAAAGCAGCTTTGGGACAACCAGGACCTGGATGACTAAGAATTGCCTCCATTGGTTTTGCCCATCTGTTAAAATTTTGGAGCAGGGGTCTTCAAACTTGTCAACTTTAAGACTTGTGGACTTCAACTCCCAGAATTCCTCAGCCAGCCCTGAGGGCTGGCTGAGGAATTCTGGGAGTTGAAGTCCACAAGTCTTAAAGTTGACAAGTTTGAAGACCCCTGATTTGGAAAAGGAGATTTCCTTCACCCACGGAAGCCTCAAATCATCTCTAGCCCCACAAGTAAGTCCTCCCCAGATGCTGAATGCCCTTTTCTGGAATACATTTCCCTGGAGATTGGCCGAGTCTCTGGACTCCTTGAGTTTTCCAAAACATGAACATCTTTGCTTTGGGAATTGCGATGCCTTTTTGATCCTCCCGCTGTGGGAATATTTGTTTGGGACTGACTGTCCCCAGTGGTGCCTTGGAGGAATTTTAATTATGTATTTTGACGTGCTTTGTTAAGTACATCACGCAGAATCGATCGCGATTGGACTGGCATATACAGAGAGTCCTCAACTTCACAGCTGCTCGTTTAGTGAACAAACCGACTAATGATCATTTTTTCACACTTAACGACCATTGTTGCATCCCCACGGTCAGGTAATCAAAATTTGGACGCTTGGCCACTGGTTCCTATTTATGACGGTTGCCGTATCCCAGGGTTACGTAATCCCCAAAGCCAATGGGGGACGCCAGATTCACTTAACAACCATGTTACTAACTTAACAGCGATGCTTTTAACAACTGCGGATAGGTCGTTAAATGGAAGGTCGTTAAATGGGGCAAAATTCACATCTCTCTTGCTTAGCTGTGGAAATGTTGGGCTCCATTGTGGTCGTAAGTTGAGGACTACGAGTATGCCATATCATTAGCACTTCTATCTTGGCCCCTGCTGGGACTAGGCGATCCACTTAGTAACGGGTAGTCCTCAACTTACGACCCCAATTTAAAAAGTCTCAAGTGGCGATCGTATGACTCTTTTGCAAATTCATGCCAAGCGCCCGAATTTTGATCACATGGCTGTGGGGATGCCGCAAAGGTCATCAGCACGAGGGCCGACGATCATTCACTTTGTCCGGTGCACTTGTAACTTTGGGCGGTCGCTAAACGAAGGATTGCAAGTCATGGACTACCTATAAATCTTTCATCCTTACCACTTGCTGTAGAGCAGGGGTTCTCAACCTTGGCAACTTTAAGACTTGTGGACTTCAACTCCCTTTGCTGGCTGAGGAATTCTGGGAGTTGAAGTCCACAAGTCTTAAAGTTGCCAAGGTTGAGAACCCCTGCTGTAGAGGGACGATGGAGAGCATCCTGTCATACGGCATCACTGTCTGGTTTGGAAGCATCCCTGCTTCGGACAGGAAGGCGGTGCCGAGAGTGGTGAGGACAGCAGAAAAGATTATTGGCAGTTCACTCCCTTCTATCCAGGACGTGGCATAGAAGCTTGAGCAGGGTCCGCAGGATTGTCTGGGACACTACACATCCTCTCCACAACCTGTTGTTACCTTCTGGGAGGAAGGGCTCTGTGCCATCCGAAGCAGAACATTCAGATTCTGTAATAGCTTTGTACCATATCCAGGAAGCCCTTGACTTCTTGTTGTTAGTTGCGAAGTCATGTCCAATCCATCGCGACCCCGTGGACAACGTTCCTCCAGGCCTTCCTGTCCTCTACCATCTTCTGAAGTCCATTTAAGCTCATACCTCCTGCTTCAGTGACTCCATCCAGCCCCCTCGTTCTCTGTCGTCCCCTTCTTCTATTGCCCTCCATCTTTCCCAGCATCAGGCTCTTCTCCAGGGAGTCCTTCCTTCTCATTAGGTGGCCAAAGGACTTGAGTTTGCACTTCAGGATCTGGCCTTCTAAAGAGCAGTCAGAGTTGATCTCCTTTAGGGACTGACTGGTTTGATCGCCTTGCAGTCCAGGGGACTCGCAGGAGTCTTCTCCAGCACCGTAGTTCAAAGGCCTCCATTCTTTGGCGCTCAGCCTTTCTTATGGTCCAACGTTCGCAGCCATACATTGCAACTGGGAAAACCATGGCCATGACTTAGGTCCACATAATTGAGCCCACAATCTGCTCCTAAATCAGACATGTCAAACACAAGACCCGGGGGCCGGATGCGGCCCGCGAAGTGGTTTCATGTGCCCCGCAAAGCCATCTTGGAAACAGTGAGGGAACGGCCCCCGCTGCCTTGACCCTGGCCCAGGCCAGCCGGGAGCCAATGTACAATTTTGTGGTGGCCATCTTGGCACTTGCCCTGGTGGACCATGCCTTGGCACTTGCCCCAGTCCCACCCCCTTCTGCCAGAGACCCTCAGATCTGTCCCACTCCTGCCCAGGCTCCCACAGGCACCCTTGACGCAAACGATGTAGAGCTGGCCACGCCCACCCAGTAGGCCACACCCACTCTATCCACGCCCACCCAGTAGGCCGCACCCACATTGGCCACACCCCCCCTTAGGGCAACCGCAATGCTGATGCGGCTCTCGGTGAAATTGAGTTTGACACCCCTGTCCTAAATGAAACATTCGCCCCATTTTACGACCTTTTCCTGCCACACAGTAGTTAAGGGAGCCGCTGCAGTTGTTAACTCAGTCATAGGGTTGTTAAGTGAATCCGGCTTCCCCAGTGACTTTGCTTGGCAAAAGGTCGCCTAAGGGGATCACATCACACACACACACACACACACACACACACACACACGTGCCCCCGGGACACTGTCACCGTCGTAAATATGAATCAGTTGCCAAGCATCCGAATGGAAAACACGGGGACCACGGGGATGATGCAAAGGTCGTAAGTGTGAAAAAATGGTCGTAAGTTGTGCCGTTGTAGCTTTCAACAGCCTCTAAGCCAGTGTTTCTCAACCTGGACAATTTTAAGGCATGTGAACTTCAACTCCCAGAATTCCACAGCCAGCAATGCTGGCTGTGGAATTCTGGGAGTTGAAGTCCACATGCCTTAAAATTGTCAAGGTTAAGAAACACTGCTCTAAGCGAACTGTTGTAAGTCAAGGACTACATGTGTTTGTGTGTGTGTGTGTGTGTGTGTGCGTGCACACAGACATGTATGTATTCTTTTGAGAGCAAACATCAGAATTGCATTTTTTAATGTGTGCCAGTGCGTTCACAGAAAAACAGTGGCCTTAAAGCTTATCGTAAATAAAATAAAATAGAGGAAAGGGATAAATTAGGCCATCTCTGATGCGGCATCCAGATTTTATTCCTTTTCTCCTCTCTTAGATGCCGGTAGCGAAACGAGCCAGGAAATCTTCAAGTGACCTTGAGCAGGCCAGCCCCTCTCCTTCGGAGGAGAACTCCGAAAGCTCGTCTGAATCGGAAAAGTACAGTGACCAGGTGGGGTTTATGTGGATAGAACAGTGGTTCGCAATCTTTTTAATGCCGCGACCCCCTACCGGTCGTAAGTCGAGGACTACTCAACTGGTGCAGCACCGTTTGCAGAATGGGACTTTTGGCGGGCTCCGCAGGGCAGAGACAGCCTGGACAATTCCTATTGGCTTTTGAAAGCCAATAGAGTTAGACTCTATTCAAGAGAGTCTATTCTATTGGCTTTCGAAAGCCAATAGAATAAGAGGGAGTAGCACAGCTAAGGAAAAGTGGGAAAAAATGGCGGACTGCGTTGTTTGGCGACCCCCGTGAAATGGTCGTTTGACCCCAAATGGGGTCCCGACCCACAGGTTGAGAACCACTGGTATAGGGTTTCCTGTTTGAGCAGGGGATTGGACTAGAACAGTGGTTCTCAACCTTTTTAATGCCGTGACCCCCAACTGGTCGTAAGTCGAGGACTACTCAACCGGACGTAAGTCGAGGACTACTCAACTGGTCGTAAGTCGAGGACTACTCAACTGGTGCAGCACCGTTTGCAGAGTGGGACTTTTGGCGGGCTCAGCAGGGCAGAGACAGCCTGGATAATTCCTATTGGCTTTTGAAAGCCAATAGAGTTAGACTCTATTGAAGAGAGTCTATTCTATTGGCTTTCAAAAGCCAACAGAATAAAAGGGAGTAGCACAGCTAAGGAAAAGGGGGAAAAAATGGTGGACTGCGTTGTTTGGCGACCCCCGTGAAATGGTCGTTCGACCCCAAATGGGGTCCCGATCCACAGGTTGAGGACCACTGGGATAGAGCCTTTACTCTGTGACCTGTGGAGTTATTTAAAGAAGGTGGAGGGACCATAATATGAGTGGGAGCTGTTGTATTTTCCCACCCACCCCCCACCCCCAAGCTTTGAGACACATTTTTCCTCTCTCTTATATAAAAGTCATTCTACTCTCAGGAAAACTAAGGAGAAATTGCCTGACAGTGAGAACAATTCATCAGTGGAACAGCTTGCCTCCAGAAGTTGTGAGTGCTCCAACACTGGAGAAACCAAGCTGGAGAAATTTTGGGGAGAAACCCCTGCAGTTGGAATTGGTGCATTCCAATGTGACTAATTTTTTTTTTTAAAAAATTTTGACTGATTACTTGGATGAGTAACGAAACATTTCTGATTAACAACCTTTGGCCCAGTTGCCAGGATTTTAACCTTTTTGAGATATCCCTTGTTGGAGGTTTTTAAGAAGAGACTGAGGTTTGTCAGAAAGGGCATAGGGACCCCTGTCTGAACACTGGGTTGGACTAGATGACCTCCAAGGTCCCTTCCAGCCCTAAGATTCTATCATTTCGACTGCGTTCAGTACGGATCCATGCTGATAATTGTAATAATTGGAAGAAATTATTTAGTCATTCGAAAACAGTTTGTAGGAGTGAAAGGAAGTCTGCGAACTTTTTATATCGGGTGGGCGATTAATTTTCCAAAGGGGGGTCCCATGACAAACTGGGACTGTTGGGGAAGGCCGAACCAACCAGGCTGTGCAATTGTGTAGGCACCCACACCTGCACATAATGTATATTGAAAATTAGCAGTCTCCTTCAAAATAAGAACAATGCAGTTGTATTGCGTGCGTGACGTATACTTCTTTATATTTGATTTCTAATTTCTGATGGACCTTATGCAGGCTGGACAGGCAGAGCCAGAGGGATGGATATGGCCCAGAGGGAGGAGGGCATAAAATGCCCAGGTCTGCTTTAGATGGATCCATACAGTGATCTATAACATGTTTATCTTTTTAACAGATCAAAGTTCTGTGGTTAAACGAGGCCGAACAGTAGATGGTGCCATGTTCTTAACGGAATGCATTAAGCCAATATTACATTTATTTGTTTGTTTGGTTTTTTTTAATTCCCCTTTGATTATTTTTATAAATAACTCAAGGCAGTTATCATACCTAATAACAGGTACCGTGTTTCCCCAAACATAAGACACGGTCATTCATATATATATATTAATATATGTTATTAATAATAATAATAATAAAGTTGGAAGGGACCTTGGAGGTCATCAAGTCCAACCCCCCCCCCGCTCAGGCAGGAAACCCTATACCATTTCGGACAAATGGCTGTCCAGTCTCTTCTTAAAAACTTCCAGTGTTGGAGCATTCACCACTTCTGGAGGCAGGCGGTTCCACTGGTTAATTGTTCTCACTGTCAGGAAGTTTCTCCTTAGTTCCAGGTTGCTTCTCTCCTTGATGAGTTTCCATCCATGACTTCTTGTCCTGCCTTCAGCTGCTTTGGAGAATAGGTTGACTCCCTCTTCTTTTGTGATAGCCCCTCAAATATTGGAGGAAAGGAAAGGGACAGGGATAACAGTTGGAAGGGACCTTGAAGATCTTCTAGTCCAACCCACTGCTCAGGCAGGAAATCCTATACCATTTTGGACAAATGGCTGTCCAGTCTCTTCTTAAAAACTTCCAGTGTTGGAGCATTCACCGCTTCTGGAGGCAGGTTGTTCCACTGGTTAATTGTTCTAACTGTCAGGAAGTTTCTCCTCAGTTCCAGTTTGCTTCTCTCCTTGATTAGTTTCCATCCGTTGCTTCTTGTCCTGCCTTCCGGCGCTTTGGAGAATAGCTTGACTCCCTCTTCTTTGGGGCAGCCCCTGAGATATTGGAACGCTGCTATCGTGTCCCCCCTTGTCCTTCTTTTCATTAGACTAGACATTGACACAGCATCCCCACAGTTACGTGATCAGAATTTGGGCACTTGGCAACCGGCATGTATTTACAAGGGTTGCTGTGTCCGGGATGTGTGTGTCATGTGATCACCTTTTGCAACCTCCCCAGCCGGCTTCCGACAAGCAGAATCAGTTGGGGGGGATCCTGATTGGCTTAATGACCTCATGATTCAACAATTGCTGTGAGTCGCATAACAACCATGATAAAATCGGGTGCAACACATTTAACCCTGGCCTTGTTTAGCAACAGAAATTCTGGCTCCCAGTTTGCCGTCGTAAGTCGCAGACTACCTGTTATGTTTGAAGGAGGGAACAAAGTCTCCTCTGCTCGTCCTTAATGTTGGGGAGAGGGGGAAATATTTAGGAAGCGAGGGGGCTTCAACGTCCTATTCCGTGTCTCCCGATATAGGACTTCACTCCAGAGAAGAAACCGCCTCCGAGGGCTTCGCGACGGGCACCCGCCGGAGGATGGAAGAAAAAGGTAAGAGGTTTTTTTTTTTTCAAAATCTCTTCCTTAGAGAAGTTTTATCAATTATCTCTGAAAATCCAGGCTCGGTTTAGAACCTGCAACTGTGTAACCAACATCAGAAACAAAACTGTAGGAGGAGTAATACAAGCAGGTGTTGGAGTCAAGAGCGGGCTTAGCCTAGAATACCTCCGTAGCCACAAGTGAACGAAGTCCAAACCCCCTTTAATTCCATTGACCCGTATCTGACTCCTGCCAGGTTTTCCCAAAAGTCAGACCGACCCCGAAAATAAGCCCTAGCTTGATTTTGGATGGTGGGCCAAAAAGAGAGGCACCTGCGCTTTCTCTCTCTCTCTCTCTCTCTCTCTCTCTCTCTCTCTCTCTCTCTCTCTCTCTCTCTCTCTCTCTGACTCTGTGAGCTGACAAGCTTATTGGGTGGGGCTCCTGCCTTGGCTGCATCTCTGCAGGAAGCAGAAGGTCAGGAGAGAGCCAGCCCAATAAGAATGTCTGTCAGCTTGTTGGAGAACAGCATGAAGCCAGCTTGCCAGAAGATCAGAGAGAGGGAGAGAGAGGAGGGGGGGAGAGAGAGAGTGAGAGAGAAAGGGAGAGGAAAGAGAGGGAGAGGGGAGAGAGAGAGAGAGAGAGAGAGAGAAAGAGAGGGAGAGAAAAATAGGGAGAGGAAAGAGAAAGAGAGGGAGAGAAAAAAGAGGGAGAGGAAAGAGAGAGGAAGAGGAAAGTGGGATAGAGGAAAGAGAGAGAGAGAAACAGAGAGAGAGAGAACTCATGCACAGCAGCCTCTATTTCTTTTTGGTTAAGCTCTTCAATCAACTCCCCATTCCTTGTGTGTACGCGTGCGCACGCAGGTTTTGCGCCTCCCAGTGTTTTCTCTGGGAAACGGGTCCAAGTGGCTCTTTGAGTGTTTAAGGTTGCAGACCCCTGCCCTACCCCAAAAATAAGCCCTAGTTTTGCAGCGAGGCGCACGCCTAAACGTCAAGCTAGTGTGGCCGGGTGCTGCCCCACGTGTCCCGCACCCACTACCCGTTGCAGCCTGCCTCTCCTCGCCGGCCTGCTTCTTCTGCGGCGTCCCCCGGCCGGCATTTTGCAGTCAGAGGCCTTTCCGGAAGGCCGGGGGACGCCGCAGAAAAAGTGGGCCGGCTGGGCAGGGCTGTCGTTGCCGGATGTGAGTGGAAAAGATCCTAACCATCACCACCATCACCTCCGAAAATAAGACCTGGTGCCTGTTTTGGAGGCAAAACAAAAAATAAGATGCTCTTAGGGAAACACAGTAGCAGGTGCTAATGATGAATTGAGAAGATTCGGGGGGGGGGGATAGGTATTTTAGCAATAAATCAGTTTAATGGGACTTTCACTTGTGGACCTGAACTTTGGCGCCTGGTGACAACCATCTGGCTGCTTAGCCTCCCACTCAATATGTTGGCCTTATGTTGGATTAAACCACGGTTTCTTCAGGTTGCCAAGGGTGAGGAACATTGGCCTGGATAAGGCCCAACTCTTTAGAATCCCCTAGGCCAGGGGTAGGCAACCTTGTCTCTTTTACTCCCAGAATTCCTGAGCCGCCATGGCTCAGCTTGGAAACCTCTCCCTTTCCCCTCAGCCTGGCTGGCTCAGGATTTCTGGGAGTTGAAGTCCACGAGTCATAAAAGAGCCCAGGTTGCCTACCCCTGGCCTAGGGGATTCTGGGAGTTGAAGTCTCAGACCAGAGTTAGGCAACCTTGGCTCTCTTATGACTCGTGGACTTCAACTCCCAGAATTCCTGAGCCAGCATGGCTCAGCTTGGAAACCTCTCCCTTTCCCCTCAGCATGGCTGGCTCAGGAATTCTGGGAGTTGAAGTCCACGAGTCATAAAGTTGCTATAGTTCCCTGTCCTGAGGGATGAGGTTAGGACAGGGATAGGCAACCTTGGCTCTTTTATGACTCGTGGACTTCAACTCCCAGAATTCCTGAGCCAGCATGGCTCAGCTTGGAAATCTCTCCCTTTCTCCTCAGCATGGCTGGCTCAGGAATTCTGGGAGTTGAAGTCCACGAGTCATAAAAGAGCCAAGGTTGCCTACCCCTGGCCTAGGTTCACCTCCAATAGCTTCAATTCTTCTTCGGGACATCATCGGTTGCGTCTAGCGCAAGCTGTCCTCAACTTACATCGGATCTACCTATTTATTACATTTTACCAATAAAGCAATTTAATTGGACCTTGATGTATCTAATTGATCTTTCGCATCTAACTGGGACACACCTTGTCTTTAATGTATAGGTAGGGCTCAACTTACAACCACATACGGGATCGGAGCATTCGTCGTTAAGCAGTGTGTTTGTTAAGGGCTGCAGCTGATTGCCTCTTTTTTTGCCCATGGTCGTTAAGCGAGACATCCCCTGACTTGCAAATTCCCCTGCTGGGCTCCCCATTGACTTTGATTGGTCGGAAGGCAGCCAGCAAGTGACGAACCCAGAGCGTAAAATCACGCTGGGTGCCAAGCGCCTGAATCAAGATCACAAGACTGGGGGGCTACTGCGAGAACCGCAAGTAATACAGGCGGTCCTCGACTTACAACCGTTCATTTTAGTGCCCTGTCAACGTGACAACAGCACGTTGGAAAAAAAGTGACATACGGCTGCTTTTCATTCTTACGACCGTCGCGGCATCGCCACGGTCACGTGTTCAAAATTCGGACGCTTGGCAACTCATCTTTGTGACGGTCGCAGCATCCCGGGATCACGTGATCCCTTTTTGCGACCTTTTGACAAGCCAAGTCAATGGGGGAAGCCAGATTCGCTTAACGACCTAACGCAGTGTTTCCCAAACTTGACCATTTTAAGGCATGTGGACTTCAACTCCCAGAATTCCACAGCCAGCATTGCTGGCTGTGGAATTCTGGGAGTTGAAGTCCACATGCCTTAAAATGGTCAAGTTTGGGAAACACTGACCTAATGTAACAACTACAGCGGCTCGTTTAACAACTGTGGCCAGAATGGGGCAAAAATTCACTTAGCCGCTCTCTCGCTTAGCGACAGAAATTTGGGGCTGCCTTGCGGTCGTAAGGCGAGGACTTCCTGTGAAGTGGTCGATTCGGGGGCAACTCACTTTAGCGACCACCTAGCTTAGCGATGGACGTTCTGGTGCCAGCAGTGGCCGTCGTAAGTCGAGGGCTGCCTGTGCAGCAGGCCGTTGATCAGAGTTCCTGTGCAGCAGAGAGGCGCCCCCTGCTTCGCTAGATCTGGGAGAGGCAGGCCTGGCTTTTTGGAGGGAGGGGAAGGTCATTGTGCAGGACGGAAGGACCCTGATCCGCTGCCTCTGGCGTGGCTAAGCCTGCTTTTTGTGTTAGCAGAAAATCGAGTCGGCCTCCGACTCGGAGAGCAAGGCCGACTCCGAGGAGGTGGAGGAGGAGGACAACAATGACCGAGAGGGCAGCCGGGCCCCCACTCCCAAGTCCGACTCTGACTCCAACTCGGATGAATCCGTCAAGAAGCCCCCCCGCGGAAGGAAGGCAGGTAAGGAGCCCGGATTGGCTGCCAGAGCTTTTTATCTTGGGCAAAGGTGCCTCTCCATTTCTTCCTTCCTTCCTTCCTTCCTTCCTTCCTTCCTTCCTTCCTCCCTCCCTCCCTCCCTCCCTCCCTCCCTCCCTCCCTTTATTTTCCTTTGTTTCATTCTATTCCTTCCTTCCTTCCTTTCCTCCCTACCTCCCTTTATTTTCCTTTGTTTCATTCTATTTCTTCCTTCCTCCCTTTCCCCGTCTTTCCTTTCATTCTTCCTGCCTTCCCTCATCCCTTCCTTCCTTCCCTTCCTTCCCTTCCATCTCTCCGTCCCTTCCTTCATTATTTCCTTTCATTCTTTCTTTTCCTTCCTTCCCTTTCTCCTTCCCTTCCTTCCTTCCTTCCTTCCCTCCCTCCCTCCCTTTATTTTCCTTTCTATCATTCTATTCCTTCCTCCCTTTCCCCATTCTTTCCTTTCATTCTTCCTTCCCTCTTTCTCTTCTTCCTTCCTTCCATCTCTCCGTACCTCCCTCCCTCCCTTTATTTTCCTTTCTATCATTCTATTCCTTCCTTCCTCCCTTTCCCCATTCTTTCCTTTCATTCTTCCTTTGTTCTCTCTTTCCCTTCTTCCTTCCTTCCTTCCCTTCCACCTTCCGCCCCTCCCTCTTTATTTTCCTTTCTATCATTCTATTCCTTCCTTCCTCCCTTTCCCCATTCTTTCCTTTCATTCTTCATTCCCTCTTTCCCTTCCTTCCATCCCTCCGTCCCTTCCATTATTTCCTTCCATTCTTTCTTTTCCTTCCTTTCCTTCCTTCTTTTCCCCCTTCCTTTCTTCCTTCCTCCCTGCCTCCCCTCTCCCTTCCTTCCTTCCTCCCCCCGTCTCCATCTGAGACAAATCTTCTTCCACGCTAGCCTTCTAGGGTGGGGGTTGGGGGGGGGGGAACCTGGATTCAGGAAAGCTGCACTTCAAGATGCCTCTTTCCAAACCAACCCTCCTCCTTCCCTCCCTCCATCCCAGCTGCCGAGAAGCCACCCCCCAAGCCCCGTGGCCGGAAGCCTAAACTTGAGAGACTTCCCAGCAGCTCCAGCAGCGACAGGTAAGAGTCGGAGACATTCCACCCCCCTCCATGCCTTGGACTCTTCCTCCCGCCTTTCTCTTCGGCCCCCTCCCAGCAGCGACAGCGACGTGGACCGCATTAGCGAGTGGAAACGGCGGGACGAGGCGCGCCGGCGAGAGCTGGAGGAGAAGCGGAAGCGCGAGCAGGAGCAGGAGCTGCGCCGGCTGCGGGAGCAGGAGCGGGAGGAGAAGGAGCGGAAGCGGGAGAAGGCCGAGAAGGGGGAGGCGGAGGCGGCGGAGAGCGAGAGCAGCGCGGACAGCGACACCCCCAGGAGGAGCAAGAAGGGGCAGCACAAGGCGGCCCCCTCATCCTCGGACTCTGAGGCAGAGAAAGAGGTGAGCTTGAGGGGTGGGGGGGATACCCAGGGGGTCTGGGCGACAGTTTCCAGAGTCCTTTTCTTAGCCAGAGCTTCGGTTCGGGAGCCGCCACAGCACAGAAAGGTTCTGGCAGGTTGTTGGTGCACAGGCTTGTATTTTGAGAGCCAGTGTGGTGTAGCCAGGGAGTTCTAGTCCCGCCTTAGGCGTGAAAGCCAGCTGGGTGACTTTGGGCCAATCACCAGGAGACGGTGAGTTCTAGTTTCCAGGCATGAAAGCCATCTGGGTGGGCCAATCACCAGGAGACAGTGAGTTCTAGTCCTGCCTTAGGCATGAAAGCCAGCTGGGTGACTTTGGGCCAATCACCAGGAGACGGAGAGTTCTAGTTCCGCCTGAGGCATGAAAGCCATCTGGGTGACTTTGGGCCAATCACTAGGAGACGGTGAGTTCTAGTCCCACCTTAGGCATGAAAGCCAGCTGGGTGACTTTGAGCCAATCACTAGGAGACCGTGAGTTCTAGTCCTGCCTTAAGCATGAAAGCCATCTGGGTGACTTTGGGCCAATCACTAGGAGATGGTGAGTTCTAGTTCCGCCTGAGGCATGAAAGCCAGCTGGGTGACTTTGAGCCAATCACCAGGAGACCGTGAGTTCTAGTACCACCCTAATCCTGAAACCCAGCTGCAGTTGTTAAGTTATTAAGACAGTTATTAAGTGAATCTGGCTTCCCCACTTGCTTGTGAGAAGGTCGCAAAACAGGATCCGTGACCTCGGGACTCTGCAACCGTCATAAGTACATGTCAGTTGCCAAGCTTCTGAATTCTGATCACGTGACCACAGGGATGCTGCAATGGTCGTGTGAAAAACAGTCATAAGTCACTTTTTTCAGTGCCATTGTAACTTTGAACGGTCGTTAAACGAACTGTTGTAAGTCGAGGCCTACCTATACTCGCCTTGCTTTTCGGCTGCCAAAATCCAGATGTCACATCTCCACAGTTGACTCCTTTACACCTTTGCGGTGCCTGCTTTCTTCTTATAGAAAAACCCGGATTGAATGTTATCTGCTTGAATTAATTAAATTAAGTCGGTTCCTCCCTTTGATCAGCTTCCTTTTTCTACCTCAAGCGTGCTGCTGAGAAAAGATGAAATTCTGACGGGCTATGGAGTTCGTGTATTTTATTTATTATTTACTTATTAAATGGATTTGATGTCTTATCTCGCAGTTTACTGCATAGGAAACATGGAAAAAAAAACCCGCTAAAATTGTCGAGTCTAAAATGACAGAAGAGAGAACAGAATTGGTACAGGTAGAACGTCATGGTTCCGACGGATGAAACCCTTCAAAAGAATCTTTATTTTGACTAGCATAATATCGGCACTGCATAATCGAAGCCAAAAATTGAATTCCTCTTTCCCTGGGCACATAGAATCAAAGCACAATTCCTCCTCCAATTAACGGTCATAAATCACATTCCCCAATTAGCTTGAAGCGTGGGCTTCCTCTCCAGTTCTCCAGCCCGCCAATTCCTTATCAGTTCTGGTTACAATAACCTTGTTTCTCAGGCTAAGTTTAGTGTTGTTATGTCTAGCTCAGTGGTTCTCAACCTTTCTAATGCCGTGACCCCATAATACAGTTCCCCATGTTGTGGTGACCTCCAAGTGGGTGTGGCCACCAATAAGAGGGAGTAGGACAGCTAGGGAAAAGGGGAAAAAATGGCGGACAGCATGGTTTGGCGACCCCCGTGAAATGGTCATTCGACCCCAAATGGGGTCCCGACCCACAGGTTGAGAACCACTAGTCTAGCTGGACTCTCATTCACCCCCCCCCTCTCCCAGCATCATCTAACTCTGTTTCTCAACCTTGACAATTTTAAGGCATGTGGACGACAACTCCCAGAATTCCACAGCCAGCAATGCTGGCTGTGCAATTCTGGGAGTTGAAGTCCACATGCCTTAAAATTGTCAAGGTTGAGAAACACTGATATCTAACTCTAAAAGCGAAAGGGAAAAAGATGGCTGTTGTCGAAGCAAAAACATCCGATGTGAGCAGCGTTGACATCCGGCACCCCTTACAAAAAAGGATAAATCCTGTAATATAAACAAAAGCACAGGTTAGGGATTGCCTCTCGATTTGTTAAGGTGTTTCTTATAGCCCAGCATGTCTTCAAAGAGTGCCAGGATTTCCGCCAGTGACAATCTTGGGATCAAATTCGTCGTTCTCTGCTTGCAAAGGCTGGGAAGTTTTCAACTGCCTGGGACCGATTCTTTTTTCTTTTTTTCCCCCACACAGGTAAAAAAAGTACCGAAAAAGCAGCCGTCCTCAGATCATTCGAAGAAATCAAGTCAAAAGGAGAAGCGAGGCCAAGGAGACGAGAAGGCGTCTCGGAACAAGTGAGGGTCTACGCAGGGTTATTTAAGGTTGACGTGGTTTCCCCCCTCGAAATTCAGCTTAATTTTGGGTGGCAAGGAAGCAAAGAAAGTTTGTACGCCCACAGGCCAGTTTTCTCTACAGCATTTTTATCCAAGTGCGTCGTGTGCTTTTACATTCCTTCCATCAATGTATATGTATTTTCATACCAACGTTTCCCTAGCAGAGAGTTCCCCAACAGAAACAGACTGCCAATCCAGGAAAAGGAACTCCTGGAACATTATTTTACCTAATATAAAACTTTACTGAATAAATCACTTTGGCACAGAAGAAGCAAAACCAGATCTGGGTTTCCCGCGCAAAAGCAGGTGTAGTTAATTCCCCCTTTTCCCTCCGGGTCACGCAAAACGTCCACCAATCTGTTTTGTTCATTTTGCTCAGTGTGTCCTTGAGATGACAGCAGTGTCGCATGTGGGTGGATGTTTGAATACCATTCTCCCCCCCCCCTCGCATTCCATCCACCCCTCTCCCTGTTATTGGCAAGCTGCAAGCGAAGGCAAAATGTAGGTGAACGTAAGTCAGGGTTGGCACAGACCATGAAGTGGGGTGGGGTCTCCAACAATGCTTCGAGCTCTAAGCACATATGAGCGTTTATAAGCAGTATCCTGAATTACAGGAAGCAAGCTTCCTATAATCTTCTCAGCTGTCCTTACCACTCTCCTTATGGATCTTCCGTCCTGAGTCATGGGAAGCGAGTGTCCTATAATCTCAGCTGTCCTTACCATTCTCTGTAAGGACCTTCCAGTCCTGAATCATGGGAAGTGAGCTTCCTATAACCTCAGCTGTCCTCACCACTCTCTGTATGGACCTTCCATCCTGACTCACGGGAAGCGAGATTCCTATAATCTTCGCAACTGTCCTCACCACCCTCTGTGTGGACCTTCCATCCTGACTCAAGGGAAGCGAGCTTCCTATAATCTTCTCAGCTGTCCTTACCACTCTCCTTGTGGATCTTCCATCCTGAATCATGGGAAGCGAGCGTCCTATAATCTCAGCTGTCCTTACCACTCTCTGTAAGGACCTTCCGTCCTGAATCATGGGAAGTGAGCTTCCTATAACCTCAGCTGTCCTTACCACTCTCTGTATAGACCTTCCATCCTGACTCACGGGAAGCGAGCTTCCTATAATCTTCTCAGCTGTCCTCATCACTCTCTGTGTGAACCTTCCATCCTGATTCAAGGGAAGCGAGCTTCCTATAATCTTCTCAGCTGTCCTCATCACTCTCTGTATGGACCTTCCATCCTGACTCATGGGAAGCGAGCTTCGTATAACCTTCTCAGCTGTCCTTACCACTCTCTGTATGGACCTTCCATCCTGAATCACAGGAAGCGAGCTTCCTATAACCTTCTCAGCTGTCCTCACCACTCCCTGTATGGACCTTCCATCCTGACTCACGGGAAGCGAGCTTCCTATAACCTCCTCAGCTGTCCTCACCACTCTCTGTATGGACCTTCTATCTGAGGCTCTGCTACCACCGAACCAGACAGTTTGTTAAGACGCTCTCCATTGTGCCTCTGTCAGAAGTGGCTGGGACAGAAGGGGAAAGCTGTGCTCTTCTCATCCCACACAAGAAATGCAGATGCTAGTTTGCACCCTTCACTAAAGATAACATATGAAGGGACCTTCAGATGGTTAGTTAGCTGCACTCCCAGGTACTTAAAATGGGACCAGTATTTCTGTGTTTTAGCAAGGGGGTTCTTAAGTGAGTCGTGCTCAATTTTACGACCTTTTTTGCTGTAGTTGTTAAGCGAACCCCTGTGGTCGTTAGGCGAATCACACAGTCGTTAAGCGAATCTGGCTTTCCCCCATTAGGAACGTTGCAAATGGCAACCACCTGAATCGTGCGAATGTCGTAAATCCATGCCCGTTGCCAAGCACCCAAATTTTGATTACGTGACCACAGACAGGCAGCATCGGTTACAACTGCAAGGACTGCTTCTGAGTCCCTTTCTTCCCAGGGCCGTCGCAACATTAAACGTTCCATTAACTAGTGGTTGCAACCTGTGGACTGCCTGTGTAATGTTGCTCGCAGCTTGTAAGGTTTATTTATTTATTTTTTTAACAATATTTTATTAGATTTTATCAAGGTAGGGGACGGATAGGGTCAGTATGGGTATTGGGGTTCAGGGTAGGGTTCAGGGATGGGGTTAGGATAAGGGTAGGTACAACAATGGGGTTACTCCCAGTAACATTTCCACGCTTTAGCAAGCAAACTATTGTCCGGATACAAGTATTCAATAACAATAATTAGTATGATAGTAAATGGCTATAATCAATAAAAATAACAGTGATCATAAAGCATATCAATTAATCAGTAAATATCATTCATCTTGTTAAATTTCACCATCATTTCTCGCTCGTTCGTTTTGCTAACCTTTGGTAGAAATTTTCCCACGTTTTAAAATAGACTGAGTCTTCTTTCTCTTTAATTTCTAAAGTTAATCTGTCCATTTCTGCACATTCTAAGATTTTCCTAATTATGATCTCATCAGATGGTGTGTTTTCATTTTTCCAATATTGAGCAAATGCTATTCTCACAGCTGTCAATACATGTAATATTAAATATTCATTCTCTTTCCCATAATTGGATCTTAATATTCCTAACAAAAACAGTTCTGGCTTAAATTCTATCTGTATTTCAGTCATCTTTTCCAGCCATGTATGAATCTTAAACCAAAATTTTTTTTGCACTAAAACATACCCACCAGATATGGTAATAGGTACCTGGCTTTTGTTTACACTTCCAACAATTATTTCTTAAAATTTTTAAGCATTTTCGCTAATCTTACTGGTATCATGTGCCATCTATAAAACATTTTATATAAATCTTATTTCTTGATTAAATTTAAAATGAAATTCAATGGTGAAAAAAATAGGGTTCTAGATTTAGGCAAGAAAACCAAATGTACAGGTATAGTATAGGGGGTACCTTGCTCAATAGTAGCAACTGTGAGAGGGATCTCGGAGTCCTAGTGGATAATCCCTTAAATAGGAGCCAGCCGTGTGCTGCAGCTGCCAAAAAAGCCAACACAGTGCTGGGCTGCATTAACAGAGGGAGAGAATCAAGATCACGTGAAGTGTTAAAACCACTTTACAATGCCTTGGTAAGGCCACACGTGGAATACGGCATCCAGTTTTGGTCACCACGATGTAAAAAAGATGTTGAAACTCTAGAAAGAGGGCAGAGAAGAGCAATAAATATGATTAGGGGACTGGAGACCAAAACATACGAAGAACAGGAATTGGGGATGTCTAGTCTGATGAAGAGAAGGACGAGGAGGGACATGATAGCAGCCTTCCAGTATCTCAGGGGCTGCCCCAAAGAAGAGGGAGTCAACCTATTCTCCAAAGCGCCTGAAGGCAGGACAAGAAGCAACAGATGGAAACTAATCAAGGAGAGAAGCAACCTAGAACTAAGGAGAAACTTCCTGACAGTTAGAACAATTAACCAGTGGAACAACCTGCCTCCAGAAGCGGTGAATGCTCCAACACTGGAAGTTTTTAAGAAGAGACTGGACAGCCATTTGTCTGAAATGGTATAGGGTTTCCTGCCTGAGCAGGGGGTTGGACTAGATGACCTCCAAGGTCCCTTCCAACTTTATTATTATTATTATGGATCATCGCACAGTCAGCCAGATGTTCAGACTGGATTTGGCATTTTGTCTACCTATCGAGTCCTTACCCAGGACCTGGGATAGGCAGATGTGGATGTTTGATGGTATTACAGATATCGTCGCAGGATGGAAGAAGTTCCTAGTAAGGCCGCCTTTTGCAATTGACTAATAGCGAATTTGTCAATGCCAATGGTGTTCAAGTGGTGCTCCAGTTGTTTTGGGATTGCACCCAAGGAGCCTATGACTATTGGTACTACCCTTGCTTGCTTTTGCCACAGTCTTTCTATTTCTATTTGTAGGTCTTTGTATTTTGTTATCTTCTCCAGTTCTTTCTCTTCTATTCTGCTGTCTCCAGGCACTGCCACTTCCACTATCCAGACTTTTTTGTCTTTCTTATCGACAATTGTTAAGTCTGGGGTGTTATGTTGCAGGTGCTTGTCTGTTTGAATTCTGAAGTCCCAGAGCAGTTTAATTTTATCATTTTCTATGACTTTCTCTATTTTATGATCCCACCAGTTTTTGCTTACAGGCAAATGATATTTTTTGCAGATCTTCCAATGCACATTGTTGCTACTTTGTCATGCCGCTGCTTGTAATCAGTCTGTGCAATCTTCTTGCAACAGCTTACCAAGTGGTCCACTGTTTCTTCAGCTTCTTTGCATAGGCGGCACTTACTGTCTGTTGCTGTCTTCTCAATTTTGACTTTGTATGCATTTGTCCTTAAGGCTTGGTCTTGTGCAGCCAGAATTAGTCCCTCGGTCTCTTTCTTCAATTTTCCTGCTCTTAGCCATTGCCAGGTCTTGTTATTATCTGCTTTCCCAGCTATTTTTTTCATGTATTGGCCATGTAGTGCTTTGTCTTCCCATGCCTCTATTCTGTTCTTCATTTGGTCTTTCTTGTAGGCCAGTTTGGTCTCTCCAGTAGTCAGTAAGCCTTCCTGATATACTAATTTCAGTGCATCTTCATCATTGTTCTTCAGATATTCTTCCAAAGCCATTTTTTCTTCTTCAACCATCTGATGTTCTTGTAGCATTCCACACCCACCTATTTGCCTTGGTAGATAAAGTCTGTCAATGTCACTGCGTGGATGAAGGGCATGATTCATTGTCATTATTTTTCTGGTCTTCCTATCCATTGCTTTTAGTTCTGCTTGAGTCCAGTCCACTATTCCAGCTGTGTACCTAATGACTGGAATTGCCCAGGTGTTGATTGCCTTTATGGTATTTCCTCCATTGAGTTTGGACTTTAAGATCTTCTTCACTCTCTTGATGTATTCACTCTAATCTTTTTCTTGACTTCAGTGTGCTTGATGTTGTCAGCTTGAAGGATACCCAAGTATTTGTAGTAATCTTCCTCATCCTGACTCTTAATGTTATTTTGGTGGGGCATCTTGATTCCTTCAGTTTTCACTACTTTTCCTTGTTTGATAGTAAGTGTGGCACATTTGTCCAAGCCAAACTCCATAACAATATCTTGGCTATATATACGGACAGTGTTGAGCAGCGATTCTATTTCAGATGATGTTTTTCCATACAGCTTCAGATCATTCATGTAAAGGAGATGGGATAGTCTGGTAGATGTTTTTGATGTTTGATAGCCATGTCCTGAGTTATTCAGTATTGTTGACAGAGGAAACAGTGCAATAACAAATAGTAATGGTGACAATGAATCTCCTTGAAATATTCTCTCTTGATATTAACCTCTCCCAGTCTCTCACCATTGATCTGCAACTGTGTCTTCCATTGTGCCATCGATCTTTGCACAAATTTTCTGATGTTTCTACTGACTCCTGTTATTTCTAGGCACTTTATTATCCAGTCATGTGGCAGAGAGTCAAATGCCTTTTTGTAGTCAATCCATGTATTATTATGGATCATCGCACAGTCAGCCAGATGTTCAGATTGGATTTGGCATTTTGTCTACCTATCGAGTCCTTACCCAGGACCTGGGATAGGCAGATGTGGATGTTTGATGGTATCGTCGCAGGATGGAAGCAGTTCCTAGTAAGGCCGCCTTTTGCAATTGACTAATCGCGAATTTGTCAATGCCAGTGGTGTTCAAGTGGTGCTCCAGTTGTTTTGGGATTGCACCCAAGGCGCCTATGACTATTGGTACTATCCTTGCTTGCTTTTGCTTTTTGTTATCTTCTCCAGTTATTATTATTATTATTATTATTATTATTATTATTATTATTATTATTAAATATTCTTGGGTTTCGAGGCCTGCTGTCTTTCTAAATAGGTCCAGTGAACTGGCTGAGTTCAGTTCCCTCCTCACCTGTCTCTTGACGCTCCCGATAATTTGAGGTAGCTGATTGGCAGTTCTGCCCAGAGAACTCGTTAGCCGTCTGGTGTCGTTCTCCCTTCCCTCCTTTGACGCCTCCCTTCTGCCGTTTTCTCCCCCGTAGGTCTCTGAGAGCCGAACGAGGCAGGAAGAAGTCCGATCTGCTGTCGGAAAGAAAATTGGAGAAGAAAAAAGGTAAAAATAAAAATAAAAAAAAATTGCAGGGGCCATCTTTGGATGACCAAGGACCTTGAGTATCGTTTACTTGCACGTCGGAGGTCACCGAGTTGATGGCAGCCTAGTATCCATGTTGACAGAGGTTGGGCTTGAACAGAATAACCAGAGTGGGAAGGGACCCTGGAGGTCATCTAGTCCAGCCCCCCTGCTCAGGCAGGAAACCCTACCCCAGTGGTGGCGAACCTATGGCACAGGTGCCAGAGGCGACACGCGGAGCCCTCTCTGTGGGCACACGCCATCGCCTCAGCACATGTGGTCTCTAAAAGTTCTCCATCACTGACCTAAGGCCAGCCAGCCTGGAGCCGCCATTGGGGAGCCCACCATCCCACCCGCCAGAGACCCCCTGGATCTCCCCCAACCATGGCCAGCTCTCACAGGTGTCCCTCCCCATAAGCAACGTCAAGGTGGCCATGCCCACCCCGGCCATGCCCACCCAATCTGCCATGACTACTGCAGCCACACCCATCCAGTAGCCACACCCATCCAGTGGCCACGCCCACCCAGTCTGCCATGACTACTGCAGCTGCACCCGCCGAGTGGGCCACACCCACCTGGCACCCGACGATACTAAGTGGGTTTTGGGTTGCAGTTTGGGCACTCGGTCTCTAAAAGGTTCGCCATCACTGCCCTATCCCATTCCAGATAAAACGGTCGTCCGGTTTCTTCTTAAAAATCTCCAGTGTTGGAGCATTCGCAGCTTCTGGAGGCAGGTGGTTCCACTGGTTAATTGTTCTAACTGTCAGGAAGTTTCTCCTTAGTTCCAGGTTGCTTCTCTCCTTGATTTAGTTTCCATCCGTTGTTTCTTGTCCTGCCTTCAGGCGCTTTGGAGAATAAATTGACCCCTTCGTCTTCTTTGTGGCAGCCCCTCAAATACTGGAACATTACTATTGTTTCCCTTTTTGAAATATTTTCAGTCTTTCCTCACGTTGGGAAGAAATTGGGTTGTGGAGTGTCAGCTGTCAACAGCCCAGGAGGCTTCAGTTGCCACAAAAAGGGACATTTGAGAATTGCCTGTAGTTGCTGCCCAGCCAGTTTGGGCCCAGCTTGCTCTCAGCCGGGTCTTTCCATTGAGGTCATCAAGTCTAACCCTGGTTCAGTGCAGGAATCCAATTTAAAGCATCTCCATCCAGCCTCTGACTGAACCCCCTTGACCAGGGATAGGCAACCTTGGCTCTTTTATGACTCGTGGACTTCAACTCCCAGAATTCCTGATCCAGCCATACTGAGGGGAAAGGGAGAGGTTTCCAAGCTGAGCCAGGCTGGCTCAGGAATTCTGGGAGTTGAAGTCCACGAGTCATAAAAGAGCCAAGGTTGCCTACCCCTGCCCTTGACCAAAGGGGGCATCGTAAGATTCCTTCCACTGTTTGAGCTTTGTTTGCTGAACGCCGGCCTACCTTGCAAGGGTGGTGGTGGTGATTCAAGGAATCAAATCAGAAGAGCCAGGACCCCTTTGATTGCCTGGACCTAGAGCAGATATATGCCTAGCCCAGGGGTCTTCAAACTCGGCCCTTTTATGACTGGTGGACTTCAACTCCCAGAATTCCTCAGCCAGGCACGTGTGCCTGGCTGAGGAATTCTGGGAGTTGAAGTCCACCAGTCATAAAAGGGCCGAGTTTGAAGACCCCTGGGCTAGCCAGTCAATGCCCCTGTAGAGGGAGCTGCTGTGGGAATCCATCAGGCTAGTGGGGCAGAGTTTAAAAAAAAAACGTTCTTCCCACTGCAGAGCCAACCGTTGAAGAGAAGCTTCAGAAATTGCACAGTGAGATCAAGTTTGCCCTCAAAGTGGACAATCCGGTAAGCTATTTGGAGCCAGTTTGGGTCTAGTGGCTAAGTTACCAGGCTAGAAACCAGGATTTGGTGAGTTCTAGTCTTGCCTTAAGCATAAAAGCTGCCTCGGTGACTTTGGGCCAATCGCCAGGAGTCAGTGAGTTCTAGTCCCGCCTTCGGCATGAATGCCAGCTGGTGATTTGGTCCAGTCACCAGGAGATGGAGAATTCTTTTTTTTTTTTTAACAAAATTTTATTAAATTTATATAGGTGAGGAAAAATAGGAACAATACAGGTATGGTAAAGGGAGGGGTAAAGGGAAAGAGGGAGGGGAAGGAAATAATGAATTAGGGTGAAATAAGGAAAGGTAAAATCACATATTTCAACAAACAAGCCACCGTCCGGATCATAATAACGAGTAAATATCATATTCAACCATTTTTAACAAAGCTTAAACTGTAACATATTAAAAACAATTAGTAAACAAATACGTTGATCTATTAAGTAAACACTACTAATAAAATCTCCCCCCAAAAAATAAATCCTAACAATCAAAAGTAACAAATGAAAATCAGTAAATCAGGAAAAGTAATCGTATCATCAAAATGTTAGTTAGAACTCAATTAAAAATCAGTCATCTATTCTAAAATATTAAATCCTTCACGTTCTAACGTGTCTCTAACCATTGATAAAAATTTTCCCAAGGTCTAAAATAAATTGAATCATCTTTTTCTTTCATTTCTAATGTTAGTCTATCCATTTCTGCACACTCTAAAATTTTGGTAATAATCTGGTCAGATGGTAGATTCTCATTTTTCCAAAATTGGGCAAATCCTATCCTTGCAGCAGTTAAAACATGCAATATCAAGTAGTCATTCTCTTTGCCATAATTAGATCTTAATATTCCTAACAAAAACAATTCTGGTTTAAATTCTGTTTGTAGCTTCATCGTCTTTTCCAACCATCTATGGATCTTAGACCAATATTTCTTAGCGATAGGGCATGTCCACCAGGCATAGTAATAAGTGTCTGGATGTTGTTTACATTTCCAGCAAATATCCGAAACATTTTTAAACATTTTCGCTAAGCGAACTGGTGTCATATGCCAGGGAGATGGAGAATTCTAGTCCCGCCTTAGGCCTGAATGCCAGCTGGTGATTTGCTCCAATCACCAGGAGATGGAGAATTCTAGTCCCGCCTTAGGCCTGAATGCCGGCTGGTGATTTGCTCCAATCACCAGGAGATGGAGAATTCTAGTCCCACCTTAGGCCTGAATGCCAGCTGATGATTTGGGCTAATCACCAGAAGATTTAAGAGTTCTAGTCTCACCTTAGGCTGGGTGATTTGGGGCCAATTACCAAGCGACCGTGAGTTCTAGTCCCGCCTTGGGCACAAAAGCCAGCTAGGTGATTCTGAGCCAATTGCCAGGAGAGGGGAGTTCTAGTCCCACCTTCAGTTCGAAAGCCAACTGGGTGACTTTCGGCCAAGGCATCCGTCTCAGCACAATCCACCTCACAGTGTTGTTGTCATGGGGAAAAGAGGAAGAAGGAGTATTATATATACTTGCTGCCTTGAGTTATGAAGTCAAGAAAATTCTAATAAATCACAAAACACTCCACCTTGCTTGGCTTCCAGTTTCAGGGGCAGGAGAATCTGGCTTCCAGATTCAGACTTCAGCTATATTCCCCATCTGAGTTGGCTAGCCAGTCAGCTCGGTCACATAAGCTTCAAACCCCCTTCCTCCTATAAGATAAGATAAGATGTAAGATAAGATAAGATGTAAGATAAGATAAGATGTAAGATAAGATAAGATGTAAGATAAGATAAACTAAGATGTAAGATAAGATAAGATGTAAGATAAGATAGGATAACCTTTGTCATTTTTTTACTGTGGGCACAACGGCACACATCAAAAATGAAATTTAGTTGCCCGCTCTCAAAGTGAAACACATCCATGACACACACCTAAACATAACTATATACAACATATGTATAGACCCACACCCCTACATATACGTAGCAAATAAATATTAAGTACTGTCCAGGGATATTGGAGGATCCTGTTGTTCATTTAAGTCAGTGTTTTTCAATCATGGGGACATTAGGTTGGGTGGGCTTCCATTCCCAGAATTCCCCAGCTAGAATGTGTTGGGTGGTCTTCCACTCCCACAATTCCTCAGCCAGAAAGCTTTAAGATGGATGGACTTCGACTCCCAGAATTCCCCAGCCAACATACTTTAAAATGGGTGGACTTCAACTCCCAGAATTCTGAAGCTAGCGTGCTTTAAGCTGAGTGGACTTCAACTCCCAGAATTCCTTAATCAGTATGCTTTAAGGTGGGTGGACTTCCACTCCTAGAATTCCCCAGCCAACATGCTTTAAGATGGGTGGAGTTCACCTCTCAGAATTCCCCAGCTAGGTTGCTTTAAGATGGGTGGACTTCCACTCCCAGAATTCTAGGAATTGAAGTCCACACTTCTTCAAACGGCCAAGGTCAAGAAACATCCCCTTCATTGTTGAAGGACACCTGGACGTCCAGGTATATTTTTCTCCTCCCCCCCCCCCTTGATTGAAGGCCGGAGTTCCTCCAATCAAGCCTGGAGTTTCCTCTAATCAAGCCTGGAACCGTTGCCTTGACTCCCCGTGCCCCTCCCTTCCTTCTTGCAATCTGATTCGCTGCCCGGCACGCTTTTCCCCGGGACTGTAAAATCAGGTCAGCCCATCTGGGTCCACCCACGAGGGCCGTCAGCTCACCCGATCCTCTTTTTCCCCCTTTAGGACATCAAGAGGTGTCTGAGCGCGTTAGAAGAGCTGGGCAGCTTGCAGGTCACTTCGCAGATCCTCCAGAAGCACACTAACGTCGTGGCTACCCTGAAAAAGGTACGTGGGGGCGGCGGAGGGTGGTAGTGGCTGTTTTCCTCCCTCCCTCCCAGCTTGTGCACGTAGTCCTCGATTTACGTCAGTTCTTTTAGCGGCCGTTCCAAACGGGGCAAAACTCACCGAACCGTCTCGCTTAGCGAGAGAAATTTTGGGCTCCAATTGTGGTCATTAGGCGCGGGTCGTCCTCGATTTAACGACCGCAGTGGAGCCCAAAATGTCTCTTGCTAAGTGGAACAAAAAAAAAATTTGTGCCTCATTTTACGGCCTTTCTTGCCACCGTTGTTAAGTGAATCACTGCAGCTGTACAGTTAGGAGCACGGTTGTTAAGTGAATCCGGCTTCCCCCCCCATTGACTTTGCTTGTCAGAAGGTTGCAAAAGGGGATCACGTGAGCCCCCCCCCTCCGAGGACGCTGCGACCGTCGTAAATAGGAGTCAGTTGCCAAGTGTTTGAATTTTGATCACATGATGCTACAACGGGACCACCGTGACTTGGATGGTTAAGAATCTCCATAGAGCAGGGGTGTCAAACTCAATTTCATTGAGGGCCGCATCAGCATTGCGGTTGCCCTTGGGGGGCCGGGTGGGTGTGGCCAGGGTGGGCGTGGCCTACTGGGTGGATGTGGATAGAGTGGGTGTGGCCTACTGGGTGGGTGTGGCCAGCTCTACATCGTTCGCGTCAAGGGTGCCTGTGGGGGCCTGGGCATGAGTGGGACAGATCTGAGGGTCTCTGGCAGAAGGGGGGGGGACCGGGGCAAGCGCCAAGGCATGGTGCATTTCTTCCTTCCTCACAAAGGGTGACCCCTCCCCAGCATGCACCCAGGGGGCGGGGCCAACACGGCAGGGGCTGGTTCCTCGCTGTTTCCTGACGGTCTTGTGGAGCTAAGACTGAATGCGTTTCAGCATAGATGGCCGCCACAAAATTGTACATTGGCTCCCGACCGGCCAGGGCCAAAGCAGTTCCCTCACTGTTTCCAGGAAGGGTTCACAGGCCGCATGAAACCACTTCGCGGGCCGTATCCGGCCCCCGGGCCTTGTGTTTGACATGTCTGCCATAGATATTTATTGACTGAGCAACACTGGCTGGGTTTAGCCCGCCACATCAGCTAAAATCAAGCTGACCGGGGTGTGAAGACTAAGAAACCATCATAATAATTGCAGAATAAAATAGGGATAGGATAGACTAGACTAAACTAGACTAGACTAAAAATAAGAATAGAAGAGAGAATAGAATAGAATAGAATAGAATAGAATAGAATAGAATAGAATAGAATAGAATAGAATAGAATAGAATAGAGAATAAAATAGAAAATAATAGAAAATAGAATGGGATGGAATAGAAAAGAATAGAATAGAATAGATGAAATAGAATAGAATAACAAAATTAGAATGGAATAGATGAAATAGAATAGAATAGATGACATAGAATAGAATAGAATAACAAAATAATAGAATAGAATAGAATAACAAAATAATAGAATAGAATAACAAAATTAGAATAGAATAGATGAAATAGAATAGAATAACAAAATAATAATAGAATAGAATAACAAAATAATAGAATAGAACATAATAACAAAATTAGAATAGAATAGATGAAGTAGAATAAAATAACAAAATAGAGTAGAATAGAATAGAATAGAATAGCAAAATAAAAATAGAACAGAACAGGAACTGGAAAGGACCTTGGAGGTCATCTAGTCCAACCCCCTGCTCAGGCAGGAAAGCCTACACCAGTGGTTCTCAACCTGTGGGTCGGGACCCCATTTGGGGTCGAACGACCATTTCACGGGGGTCGCCAAACAACGCAGTCCGCCATTTTTTCCCTTTTTCTTTGGCCACGCCCCTGGCACCCGGTGATGTATAAGTGGTTGGGGGTCACCACAACATGGGGAACTGCATTATGGGGTCGCGGCATTAGAAAGGTTGAGAACCACTGCCCTACACCATTTCAGACAAATGGCTGTCCAGTCTCTTCTTAAAAACCTCCAGTGATGGCGCATCCACAACTTCTGGAGGAAAGTTGTTCCACTGGTTAATTCTTCTCACTGTCAGGAAATTTTCTCCTTAGTTCCAGGAGCCTGAAGGGTTCAGATAGCTGCCCTGGTGGGAGCCCTTTGGAGCTGCCCTTCCAGACCCTCCCAGGCTGAACTTTTCTTTTTCTTCTTCTTTCTCCTTCTTTTCGGTTCTCATCAGATCCGACGTTACAAAGCCAACAAGGATGTGATGGAAAAGGCGGCCGAAGTCTACACCTGCCTGAAATCGCGCGTCCTGGGCCCCAAAACGGGGGGCAACCAGAAGGTGCACAGGGCGGACGTGGAGAAGGAGGAAGGGGGCAAAGACAAGGAGAAGCTGCCGGCCGGGGAAACGGAGAACGAGCAGGGCGAGGAGGAGGAGGAGGAGAAGGATCCTGGTAAGGCCCTTTCCGAGACAGGAATCGAAATCCCAAAATTGCAGGAAATGCCGGCCCGGTCCAATATCGATTCTGAAAGCTGTGAGATTAAGGCGGGATTTGCACTGTTGGCTTCCCCTCTCGGGGGGGGAGGGGGGGTCCCAAGAGAACCCCATTCCTGAGCAGCAGCCCAGGATTCCCCAAAGGGGGGAGAGAAATCCAGCCCTTTGCTTATGCCCTTTGCCGGCGTTCCCCTTTTCTGCTGGTGTGAGAAGGCCCGTTCCTCTTCCAGATCTCCCACCGCCCGTGAACGGGGAATCGGCCACCCAGAAGGAAGAAGGGGAAGCGGAGGACAAGGGCCAAGGGGAAGACTGGACTCCCGGAGAGGGCAAGAGGGGGACGTCGCCCGAAGACACCCACAACGAGTAAGTCGGTTTGGGGGCAGGCACTGGATGGAGGGAGGGAGGGAGGGAGGGAGAGAGGGAGAGAGGGAGGAAGGAAGGAAGGAGAGGGAGGGAGGGAAAAGGGTGGAAGGAAGAAGGAAGGAAGGAGCGGGAAGGAGTGAGGGAGAGAGCGAAAAGGGAGGATGGAGGGAGGAAAGGAGAGGGAGGGGAGGGGGAAGGAGGGAGGGGAGGAGGGAGGAAGGAGAGGGAGGGAGGGAAAAGGGAAGGAAGAAGGAAGGAAGGAGCGGGAAGGAGTGGGAGAGAGGGAAAGGGAGGATGGAGGAAACGAGAGGGAGGGAGTGGGAAGGAAGGAGGGAGGGAGAAGGGAGGAGGGAGGAAGGAGAGGGAGGGAGGGAAAACGATGGAAGGAGGAAAGAAGGAGGGAGGGAAGGAAAAGGGGGGAAGGAAGGAGGGAGGGGGGGAGGGAGGGAGGGAGGGAAAACGGTGGAAGGAGGGAGGAAAGGAGAGGGAGGGAGGGGGAAGGAAGGAGGGAGGAGGAGAGAGAGGGAAAAAGGAAGCTGGAGGGAGGAAAGAAAAAAGGAGAGGGGGAAGGAAGGAAGGAAGAAGAAATAGAAGAGGGAGGGAGGGAGGAGAGAGGAAGGAAGGAAGGAATAGAAGAGGGAGGGAGGAAGGAAGGAGATGGAGGAGGGGAGGAAGACGGAAAGTGGAGGAAGATAGGAAGAGAAGGAAGGAGAAAGAGAGGAAGGAGGGACGGAGAAAAGGAAGGGAAAGAGAAAAGGAGGGAAGAAGGCACGGAGGGAAAGAAGGAAAGGGAAGGAAGGAGAGAGAGAAAGGGAGATGGGAGGGAGGGGGGGATATCTTGCAAACTGCCCTTCCTTTCCGCGGTCTCTGAGAAGACCCTTCCCAAATTAGGAAGGCTACCGCCGGTCCCCATTTCCCGGTTCCTTCCTCAGGCCCTGATCTCTCTCTCTCTCTCCCCCTTCTTCCTTCCCGCCCCTCCTGGCATCCCAGCGGAGCACAGGACTATCCTGAGACGGAGCGGGCAGGGACGGAGCGAGGCAGGGCCCACCCAGAGTCGGACTCGGCGGACGAAGACGAGGAGAGTTGAGGGCGGCCGAAAGGGTCCCCGTTTCCCCTACCCCCGCCCTCCCACAAGGAAATGGCCCCGGATTGTGGTGATGCTGGCAGCCTCCGCCCGGCGTTTTCTGCGATGCTTCTCCGAGCCCCGCGGTAGATGGCGTTCTAGGTCATGTCCTCCCCGAGAACTCTTCCCCCCCCCCGCCCGCTCTCCTTTTTCCCCTTTCGCTCCCTCGAGAATGATGAACTTCGGAGGGGGCTGCCCCACCCACCCGCCCGCCCACCCCCGGTACGTTTGTATTGCCCCCCACCCCCCGCGTTCCTCGGCTGTCCTCCGTGTCCTCCCCTCTCCCGCCTCTCGCCTTTAATCTTGTGATTTCCACAGACACGAAATGAATATATAAAGGGTTGTTTTTTTAATGAAAAAAAAAGTACGAAAGAAAGAAAAAGGCCGCCGGTCTTGGTCTACCTCCTTTATTTATTTTTTCCTTCCGGCTCGAGGGACGAGAAGAGCAGGGGATGGGGACGGGGCTTTCAAACGTGGGACTTTTCACCCCAATCCTGACCCTCGGGGGCTGGAGGGGTTCAGTGGGACAAGTTGGAGGGATTCCAGCTGGAAGGGTGGAGCTTCAAGGGGTCCCGGGTGCTCGCTGGGCTGGGTGGTTCTCTGGTGGACGTTTCGTGACCCGGCTAGGGAACGTCATCAGTGCCAGAAGGGGATGGGGTTTGTGGCGTGGGGGAAGAGGAGGAGGAAGAAGAATAAGATGAGGAGAAAGAGAAGAGAAAGACTTTGGAGTCCCAGGTGCTTGCTGAGCTGAGTGGTTCTGTGGCGGACGTTTCGTGACCCGACTAGGGAACGTCATCAGTGCCAGAAGGGGATGGGGTTTGGGGAAGAGGAGAAGGGGGAGGAAGAGGAGGAAAAAGAAGAGGATGAGGAGAAGAAAGAGGAGAAAGACTGTGGGGTGCTTGGTGCTCTCTGAGCTGGGTGGTTCTGTGGTGGACGTTTCACGATCCAACTAGGGAACGTCATCAGTGCCAAAAGGGGATAGGGTTTGTGGAGTGGGGGAAGAGGAGGAGGAGGAGGAGGAGGAGGAGGAGGAAGAAGATGAGGAGGAGGAGGAGGAGAAAGAGAAAGAAGAGAAAGACTTTGGAGTCCCGGGTGCTCGCTGAGCTGAGTGGTTCTCTGGCGGACATTTCGTGACCCGACTAGGGAATGTCATCAGTGCCAGAAGGGGATGGTGTTTGGGGAAGAGGAGAAGGGGGAGGAAGAGGAAAAGGAGGAAAAAGAAGAGGATGAGGAGAAGAAGGAGGAGGAGGAGGAGAATGTGGGGTGCTTGGTGCTCTCTGAGCTTGGTGGTTTTCTTGCAGATGTTTCATGACCCAACTAGGGAACATCAGTGCTGGAAGGAAGGGAGGAAGGAAGGAAGGAAACTATGGGGTCCTTGGTGGTGAGCTTGATGGTTTTCTTACAGACCTTTCATAACCCAACTAGGTAGCACTATCAGTGCTAGGAGGGGGGGTATGTGGAGAGGAAGAGGGGGACTATGGGTTCCTTGTTGTTCTCTGAGCTGAGTGGTTTTCTTGCAGACATTTCATGACCCAACTAGGGAACGTCATCAGTGTTAGAAGGAGGGAGGAGGACTGTGGGGGTCCTTGGTGCTCCCGGAGCTGGGTGGTTCTCTTGCGGACGTTTCACGACCCAACTAGGGAACGTCATCAGTGCCAGAGGCGAATGTGGGGTTTGCGGAGTGCAGGAGAGGAGGAGCACTTGGGTTCCTTGGTGCTCCCTGATTTGGGTTTTCTTGCAGACCTTTCATCACCAGACTACCTAACGTCCTCCGTTCCAGAAGGGGGTGTGGGTTTTGTGGCGTGGAGGAGAAGCAGCAAGAGAACTGTGGGGCCTTTGGTGCTCCAATGTTTCATTACCCAACTAGGTAACATCAACAGTGCCAAAGGGAGTGAAGTTTGCGGTGAGAAAGAGAAGGGGAGAAGGAGAACTAACTGTTGGGCCTTTGGTGCTTTCTGAGGTGGGTTATTTTTTTGCAGACATCTCATGACCCAACTATGTAACTTCATCGGAGGGGGGGTTGCAGAGAGGAGGACTGGTCTCCTGGGTGCTCTCTGCGCTTGGGTGTTTTCTTGCAGACGTTTCATTGCCCAGCTAGAGACTATCATCAGTGCTAGAAGGGAATGTGGGGTTTGTGGAGAGGAGGAGGAAGAGGCGGAAGTGGGAAAGGACTGTGGGCTCCTTTTTGCTCTCTGAGCTCCATTGTTGTCTTGCAGACGTCTCACGACCCAGCTAGGTAACGTCATCCATGCTAACCAGACATCATGCTAATGACATAGAAAGTAACTGCACTGACAGGCCGTCCTTGACTTACAACCCTAAGGGAGCCTGCCCATCACAGTCAGAAGTCGTGACGGTTGTAAATCGGCTAACCCAATTTTATGACCTCTGGTGGCAGTGGTTTTAAGTGAACACGGCAGTCGTAAAATGAAACGTGGGCCAGTTTTGCCCCCAAATCAGAATTAAATGCCAGGTTTTGGGTCACGTGACTGCAGGACACTGCAAACGGCGGTGAACGTGGGCCGGTTGCTGAACGCCCAACCTGTCACGTGGCCACGGGGGGGGGGGGAATCGGCCTTTGAAACCAGATTGTAAGTACCTCCCCCCCCCCCGGGAGGTCCATTGTAACTTCAAGTGGTTGTTAAGCGTCCAGTTGTAAGTTGAGCACGACAGTGAAAAAGCTAAGAAAGAAACAAAAGAGGCCAGAACGCAGCCTCTCCAGCAGCTCACACCCAGACAGACTTTCAAGCAGGAAACGATACTCCAAGGAACCACCAGGGAGAAAAACACACCTTCGTCAACACTGACAGCCCCTTCTAACATTGATGGTGTTACCTAGCTGGGTCATGAAAAGTTTGCAAGGAAACCACCAAGCTCAGAGAGCACCAAGGACCCCCATAGTCGTCGTCATCCTCCTCCTCCTCTCTAAACTCCACCCCTCTTTAGCACTGATGATGTTACCTAGCTGGGTCATGAAATGTCTGCAAGCAAACAACCAAGCTCAGAGAGCACCAAGGACCCCCATACTACTATTACTACTTTCACTAAACTCAACTCTTCTCGCACTCATGGTGTTACCTAATTGGATCACAAAATGCCTGCAAGAAAAAAAACCCGACAGTTGTCACCCTCCTCTTCCTTCGCCCCTCCTCCTCCGTCTTCTCCTTTCCTCCTCCTCCTCCTCCTCCTCCTCCTCCTCCTCCTCCTCCTCCTCCTCCTCCTCCTCCTCCTCCTCTTCCTTCGCTCCTCCTCCTCCTCCTCCTCCTCCTCCTCCTCCTCCTCCTCCTCCTCCTCCTCCTCTCTCTAAACTCCACTCCTGCTTAGCACCGACGGTGTTACCTAGTTGGGTAACGCTACGTCTGCAAGAAAACAAGCTCGGAGAACAACAGAGACTCCTTAACCAGCTGAAACGCTCTTTTGTCATTTCACTTCCTGACTGATTTGGGTCCAGTCTCTGGGGGGGCTTCTTCTGGACCCCCGTGTTTGTTAGCAGGATTTCCCCTCTCCTCCATCTCCTTTATTTGTGGATGGGGGGGGGATGCTTCTTTGACAGCTCCCTGCCACCTCTTTGGACCCCTTTCAAATGTCTGAAACCTGCCATTCCTAAGGAGGCTGCTGGTCTGTTGGAAAGAACAGGCTAGGCTGGAGGTCAGAGATGAAGAGTTGCAGAGAACACCTGCACAGGTGACCTCCTTTGCAGGTATTCGGACTCCGACACAAGAAGGAAGTCTTTTTGCTATCTTGGACCAAACCCCAAAGCCTATCCTGGTCCTCCTGCCATGGGTCAGGTCCGACTAATCTGCCTGGGGGACTTGGTTGGACCCACAAGGTCTCACGTGGGGCAGCAGCTTTGGAGCTTTTTCCAACCTCTCTCTTGCTTGTTTGCTCTTTGAAAAACTTCCTTGGTGCCCAGAAGACGTGAAGAAGGTCGGGGATGGATGTCCTCTCTGCAGCTTCCTTTCTCTCTCCCCCCCCCCAAAGCAAGGAGAGGATGTCCCAGTCTGACTTCAGCTCCCCCCCCCACACACACACACTGATAAAGCAGACCACTGTGTCATGTAGGGCAGTTAGTCCTCGACTTTACAACTGCCACTTCCATCAGGAATACGGTCTTTTACGTATGTTGGGTCTGATTTTACCACCACCTGTCCACGAATTGCACGTTGGTGGAGCGAATCCAGCTTTGTTCGTGAATCACTCAAGTTAAGTGAACCCAGTTCTCTCCCTTCCGCCCTATTCTATTCTATTCTATTCTATTCTATTCTATTCTATTCTATTCTATTCTATTCTATTCTACAGTCTATTCTATTCTATTCTATTCTACAGTCTATTCTATTCTATTCTACAGTCTATTCTATTCTATTCTACAGTCTATTCTATTCTATTCTATTCTATTCAATTCTACAGTCTATTCTATTCTACAGTCTATTCTATTCTATTCTACAGTCTATTCTATTCTATTCTACAATATATTCTATTTTACAGTATATTCTATTCTATTCTATTCTAGTCTAGTCTAGTCTATTCTAGTCTATTCTACAGTCTATTCTATTCTATTCTACAGTCTATTCTATTCTATTTTATTCTATTCTACAACATATTCTATTCTACAGTATATTCTATTCTATTCCATTGCCACGATGGCGCAGTGGTTAGAATGCAGTACTGCAGGCTGACTCTGCCGACTGCCAGCAGTTTGATCCTGACCGGCTCAAGGTTGACTCAGCCTTCCGTCCTTCCCAGGTCGGTAAAATGAGGCCCCAGATTCTTGGGGCAATAGGCTGACTCTGTAAACCACTTAAAGAGGGCTGTAAAGCACTGTGAAGTGGCCTATAAATCTAAGCGCTGTTGCTATTCTGGAAGTTGTAATCACCCAAGAGGTCAAAATCCACCTTTTCCCCAAGCTATCAACCCATGGGGCAGAATAACAGAGTTGGAAGGGATTATGGAGGTCTTCTAGTCCAACCCACTGCTCAGTCAGGAAACACTATTCCATTTTAGACAAGAGGAACAAAGATGATTAAGGGTCCGGAGACTAAAATAAATGAAGATTGGTTGCAGGAATTGGGTATGTCTAGCCTACATACTAGGGAAGGACGAGGATTCTATTATTCTATTCCTATTCTATTTTAGTCTAGTCTAGTCTAGTCTAGTCTAGTCCAGGGCTTTTCAACCTTTTCACCCATTGTACCACTTTTAGGATATGGCAACATCCAAGTACCACCAGTTGCCTAGCAAGGTGTCAAAAACTTGATGACCAAAAAAAGAAAAAAAAAAGGAAAAAAGTGATAAAGTACAGGTAGTCCTCAACTTACAACAGTTTGCTTAGTGACTGTTCGCAGTTACAATGGCACTGAAAAAAGTGCCCCCCAAGCCACAGCTGAGCAAGACACCTGCCTGCCCGCCCGGCGGCACTCTTCCTCCTGTCCGAGGTTTTCATTGTTGTGAGCATTTCTGTTGAGGATTGGCAGCGGGGGTAGGGTGGGGGGTGTTTGGTTTTTATTCCCCCCCCCCCCGTCTGCTGGGTGGTTGCAGCAGGTTTTGGTCACTTCACAAGACCCTGGGACACTGTGACCGTCATAAATATGAATCAGTTGCCAAGCATCTGAATGTAAATCACGAGACCCTGGAGATGCTGCAACATTCCAGCTGATCGGCGCTTCTTCTGGGCTCAGTAGAAGTGCCAGGATCAGTGTTGAGCTCCAGCTGATCTGTGCTTCTTCTGGGCTCAGCTGAAGCCCCAGGATCAGTGCCGAGCTCCAGCTGGAGCCCGGCGCTGATCCCGGCGCTTCCGCTGAGCCCTGACAGCCCCGAAAAAGTGCCGATCAGCTGGAAAGCGGCACAGGAGCTTCCGCTGAGCCCTGACAGCCCTGCAGCTCCAGCCGTCTCTCGCTCAGGCTTGTGCGGTGCTGCCACCGGTTCAGCTCATTCCCCTCCCCCGCTACCACTTTTCTAGGGTAGCATACCACCTGCCAGGTGCCAATGTACCAGAGGTGGTACCCGTACCACCGGTTGAAAAGCCCTGCTCTAGTCTAGTCTATTCCTGTGGGGCTCGGGAATGATAGGTGGAGTGCGACCGTCAGCATCAAACACGCAAGCACCAATTCAAGTGAGCTGCTGACTCAAGGTCTCGTTCTTTAGTAATTCATGCTGCATGCCCGGCTTCACGGAGACCGACCACCTGGGTCATTCTCCAGGGCGAGTCCACCGCCATTTGCAGTCCCTGCTGAGCACCCTGTTTCCAAAACATTCCCCCCCCCCGGTCTTGCTTCCATCTTTCTACTTGTCTTCCTCCTTCTTGCTAAAAATCTCCTCCTTGATACTCTTGGGGATGTAGGACTGCACGAGTTTGAAGAGGCTCCACTCGGAACGTCCAGAGGCTGCCGATCCCGCCGCGGAGGCGTCCTCCGCCTCTCTGTAGGGTGTCATCTCCTCACATTCTTTCGGGTCGTAGGCCCGCTGGATTTTGAGGATGTCCACCCGCTCCCGCGGAGCGGAAGAGGAGCCCTCCCCTGCTTGTGTCCGGATGGAGGAGCCGTCCTCGCATTCTCTGGGTTCGTGGGCTTTCTGGATCTCCAAGAGGTTCTTCGGCTGCTCAGGGGGGGGCTGTTTCTCTTCCTCCGGGGCCAAGGGGGGGACTTCGTTGTTGTTATTGCTCCTGTTGACCTCGAGCTTCAGAATGTTATCCCTGCTTGAAATCAAGTTGCTCTGAGTAGCGTATGGGACAGGGAGTGGGAATTCTTCCTTCTGGATAAGCGGCGGGACGTCTTCCTGGACGGATGGTGGGACCTCTTCTTCCTTCTGGACAAGTGATGGGACTACTTCCACCTGGACTGGTGGTGGGACCTCGTCTTCCTTCTGGACAAGTGATGGGACTACTACCACCTGGACTGGTGGTGGGACCTCGTCTTCCTTCTGGACAAGTGATGGGACTACTTTCACCTGGACAGGAGGTGGGACGACTGCTTCCTTCTGGACTGGAGGTGGAATGACGTCTTCCTTCCGGACAGGAGGCGGGAACTCTACCTTCTTGATGGAAGGTGCTTCCTTAATAGACATTCGGAGTGCCTCAATTTCCTCTTTCTCCTCCTTGCTGGGCAGTCTGTCGTCGTGACACTCTTGGGGCTCATAAGCCTGCAGGAGTTTCAGGATGTCCGCCCTGCTCGGAAGAGGGACGTCTTTTGGACCAAGAGTTGGGACTTCCGTTGGGTCAGACGATTCTTCGCAACCTTTGGGTTCGTAAGCCCGAAGGAGCTTCAGGATATCGTCTCTGCTGGGCAAGGCTTCTTCCACTTCCTGGGCGGGCGCGTCTTCCTCTTCCTTCTGGAGAGAAGAGGGGAGGTTCTTCTTCTCCAGCAGTCCTTGGATAGTGGAGATTTTGGGCACGTAGGTCTCCAGCATTTTCATGATGCCCCAGTTCTTTGACTCGTCCTTGCTCGGAGGGGACACGTCCTTCTCATCCCCGCTAGGAGTTGCGTCCTCCTTGCAACCTTGAGGCTCGTACGCCTCTTGGATTTTGAGGATGTCCTCCGATTCTCTTGAAGGTGGGGCCTCCTCCGCCTCCGCCGCCTCCTTCGCGAAAAGGGCTCCGTTGTAGCACTCTCCGGGATCGTAGGCTTTCTGGATTTTGAGGATGTTGCTCTCGATATCCCTCATGTCGAACGGGGGCATCTCTTCTTCGGCTTCACGCTCCGCCATGCTGTCGGGGGCCTCCTGCCTCCTGCTTAGGATGGGAGGGAAATAGTCCTTCAGCCACAGGAGGGCCTTGGGGCTTTGCAAGGCGAATTCCATGAGTTCATCCATCGAGCCTTGGGCTTCCGCCATGACGGCGAAGCTCTTGTTCAAGAGGCCGCTGGACAAGTCGCTGAAACAGTGGGCGGAGGCGAAGGAGGAGTGCAGCTCGCTCATATCACGACAGGTTTGGTACAGCTTGTTTTGGAGATTGGAGGGAAGATCCTTCAAGTTGGCCAACAGACTCTCATAAGTGTTCTTCAAGTTGCTGGTCAGGCTCCGGGACATCTCTAGCGTTTTGGTTTCTACCTGTTGGAACCAAAGGACATTCCTTCAGATGTATAGTCCCCCCCCTACCTGCTCGTCAAGCAGGTAGCAGACCTGGCCAGCTATTAAACCAACTAAAACTCAAGTCTGATATATTTCCATCAGGAAGATGGATAACCACCTCCTCACCGCGATTAGCAAAAGAACAGAGCAGTGGTTCTCAACCTGTGGGTCGGGACCCCATTTGGGGTCGAATGACCATTCCACGGGGGTCGCCAAACAATGCAGTCCGCCATTTCCCCCCCTTTTCCTTAGCTGTGCTACTCCCTTTTATTCTATTGGCTTTTGAAAGCCAATAGATTAGACTCTCTTGAATAGAGTCTAATTCTATTGGCTTTCAAAAGCCAATAGGAATTGTCCAGGCTGTCTCTGCCCTGCTGAGCCCACCAAAAGTCCCATTCTGCAAACGGTGCTGCACCAGTTGAGTAGTCCTCGACTTATGAGCGGTTGAGTAGTCCTCGACTTCCGACTGGTTGGGGGTCGTGGCATTAAAAAGATTGAGAACCACTGGAACAGAGGAATATCAATAGAAGAGAATGTAGCTCAGGGTTGAACTGTGGGGTCCTGGGTGCTCTCTGAGCTTGGTGGTTTTCTTGCAGGCGTCTCATGACCCAACTAGCTAACGTCATCAGTGCTGGAAGGGAGTCAGTGGGCTTTGTGGAGAGGAGAAGGAGGAGAACAATGACTGTGGGGTGCTTGGTGCTCTCTGAGCTTGCTTGTTTTCTTGCAGATGTTTCATGATCCTAACTAGGGAACATCATCAGTGCTAGAAGGGAGTCAGTGGGGTTTGTGGAGAGGAGGAGGAAAAGGGTTGTGGTAGCCTCTGAACTTGGTTGTTTTCTTGCAGATGTTTCATGAGTCAACTAGCTAACATCATCAGGGTTGCAAGGGAGAAGGGTTTGTGGAGAGGAGGAGGAGGACTGTGGGGTTCTTGGTGCTCTCTGAGCTTGGCTATTTCCTTGCAGAGGTCTCATGACCCAAATAGGTTACATTATCAGTGCTTGATTTGGATACTGTTTACTTCTTGATTATTGTTCTAGCATTAATATTGGTATTGGTGATCAAAGAACTACGAACTTAGACAAACTAACTAACAATAAACAGCCTAATTCAGGGACCACAAAGAACATCTCACCCACCCTGACAAGGCAAACCAGTAGTGTATAAAAAGAGAGCAAACCCCACATTCCCTTCTAGCACTGATGATGTTACCTAGTTCAGTCATGAAACGTTTGCAACAAAACAAGCAAGCTCAGAGAGCACCAAGGACCCCACAGTCGTTGTTGTCGTTGTTGTTGTCGTCATCCTCCTCTCCTCCTCCTCCTCCTCCTCCTCCTCCTCCTCCTCCTCCTCCTCCTCCTCCTCCTCCTCCTCTCTCCTCTACAATCCCCACCCCCTTCTAGCTCTGATAATGTTACCTAGTTGGGTCATGCAATGTCTGCAAGAAAACCCCCAAGCTCAAAGAGCACCAAGGACCCTCACAGTCGTTGTTATTGTTGTTGTCGTCATCCTCCTCTCCTCCTCCTCCTCCTCCTCCTCCTCCTCCTCCTCCTCCTCCTCCTCTCCTCTCTACAATCCCCACCCCCTTCTAGCACTGATAATGTTACCTAGTTGGGTCATGAAACATCTGCAAGAAAACCACCAAGCTCAGAGAGCACCAAGGACCCCCACAGTCTTCCTCCTCCTCCTCCTCCTTCTACCCCACATTCCCTTCTAGCACTGATGACGTTACCTAATTGGATCATGAAACGTCTGCAACAAAACCAGAAAGCTCAGAGAGCACCAAGGACTCCACAAATGAAACGATCTTCACCCTAATGAAATTAGAAATCAATGGGTTGCTGAACTAGATCAGATCAGATCAGATAAGATGATAAGATAGGATAGGATAGGATAGGATAGGATAAGATAATCTTTATTGTCATTTTTTTACTGTGGGCACAACGGCACACATCAAAAATGAAATTTAGTTGCCCGCTCTCAAAGTGAAACACATACATGACCCACACCTAAACATAACTATATACAACATATGTGTAGACCCACACCCTTACATATATATAGCAAATAAATACTAAATACTGTCCATCTTGAATATATAACGGCCACCCAGTTGTCAAGATTTTGGTAGCCAAAGCCAGTGGGCTTCAAAAGGCTTTGCAGAAAATTTCAGAAGATTCTTACGTTGAACTCTGGAGAAGCTTGATAAGCAGAGATATCCTGCTAATTTCTTTCTGTACTAGCCCGCTAAGGCTAAAGTCTTTTGACTGTATACTTATGGTGAGTATTTTTTTGTTTGCAACTTGTGATTTGTGCTGGCTTAACCTCTTTAAAATATGAAAATTTTATGTAACATCTGAGTAAAAACATCCAGCGTGAAACACACTTTTCTGGTGGACAAAGTTGAGGGCAGAGTATTCCAGATTTTCAATTTCTAGCTTTATTATTATTATTTTTTTGCTTTGTGTGGGTTTAAATATTAGCCTTTTTTCCCCCCCTGTGAAGCCAGATCTCATTCTCCCGTATAGGTAGTCCTTGACTTACAACCATTCGTTTAGCAGCTGTTCAGAGTTACAGCTGCGCCGAAAAAAGCGACTTACAACCAGTCCTCGCACTTATGGCCACTGCAACATCCCCACAGACACATGATCAGAATATGGGCAGCTTGGCAACCGGCACGTATTTGCGATGGTTGCAACGTCCCTCGGTCACGTGATCTCCATGTGTAACCTTGCCCTCCGGCTTTGAACAAGCAAAGCTAATGGGGAAAAGACAGATTCGCTTAATGACCACACAATTCACTTAACAACTGCGGCGGTTTGCTGAAAAAAATGTGGCAAAGAAGGTTGTGAAATCGATTGTGGTCGTAAAACGAGGACTACCTTTATTCGCCTTTTTGAGACTCGGCATCCTGTGAGTGGGTTAGCATCCCAGAATCCTGATTGGGAATTTTAAGAGTCGGAAGTCTCCAAATTCAAGAAGTACCGTATATTCCAGCGTATAAGACGACTTTTGAGAGCGTTGAAACCGCCTCTAAACTCGGGGGTCGTCTTATACGCCAAGTCGTCTTATACGCCGGATAAGGTAGTTTCTGGCGTATAAGACAACTTTCTAGGCATGCGATTCGGCATCGATCGTCTTATACGCCAGAAATACTGGTAGTTTCTGGCGTATAAGACAACTTTCTAGGCATGCGATTCGGCATCGATCGTCTTATACGCCAGAAATACCGGTAGTTTCCGGCGTATAAGACAACTTTCTAGGCACGTGACTCGGCGTCAATGGTCTTGCGACTCGGTGTCGATCATCTTGCGACCCGGCGTCGAACTAGAGGGTTGTCTTATACGCCGGGTCGCCCTATACGCCGGAATATACGGTAATGTTTTGTTTCCCCGCAGAGAAGGATACGGAGATAGCCTTGAAATGGATCTGAGTCGGTCATTGAGGGGAAAAAAAATCTGTTTAGCTGGGAAGCGAGAAGCAAGTGAGGAAGAAATTCAAGTTTGCCCCACTTTGATTCTCTCTGGTTTAAGAAGGTGATGGGGAAAAATTGTCAGGCTCCTGAGAATCTGTTATCGTACCTTATGACAAAGAGAGTCTCCATAGCTCAGTGCTTCTCCAACCAGTTCCCAAAATTCCCTAGCCAGCCTTGGGATACCCATAGGAACAGTGTAGTCGTCCTTACGTTGTCTCTTTCCTGACCTGGCTTGCCTTGGAAAGCTAATTTTCAAGATTCTACATTGCTGCAGTCATAAAACTGATCCTAAGCAAGGTTAGGCGGTCAACCTATTGTCTAAAGCACCTGAAAGCTGGACAAGAAACAATGGATGGAAACTAATCAAGGAGAGAAGCAACCTGGGATTAAGGAGAAACTTCCTAACAGTGTGGACAATTAACCAGTGGAACAGCTTGCCACCAGAAATTGTGGGTGGTCCATCACTGGAGGTTTTTAAGAAGAGACTGGACAGTCACTTGTCTGAGATGGTATAGGACAGGTTCAGCTGCTTGAGCAGGGGCTGGATTAGACCTCCAAGGTCCCTTCCAGCTCTATTCTATTCTATTCTATTCTATTCTATTCTATTCTATTCTATTCTATTCTATTCTATTCTATTCTATTCTCTATTCTATTCTATTCCAGCTATTCTATTCTATTCTATTCTATTATTCTATTCTATTCTATTCTATTCTATTCTATTCTATTCTATTCTATTCTATTCTATTTCAATAAAGATTCTATTCTATTCTCAATTTCTATTCTATTCTATTCTCAATAAGATTCTATTCTATTCTATTCTATTCTCAATAAAGATTCTATTCTATTCTATTCTATTCTATTCTATTCTATTCTCAATAAAGATTCTATTCTATTCTATTCTCAATAAAGATTCTATTCTATTCTATTCTATTCTATTCTATTCTATTCTATTCTATTCTATTCTATTCTATTCTATTCTATTCTCAATAAAGATTCTATTCTATTCTATTCTCTATTCTATTCTATTCTATTCTATTCTATTCTATTCTATTCTATTCTATTCTATTCTATTCTATTCTCAATAAAGATTCTATTCTATTCTATTCTATTCTATTCTCAATAAAGATTCTATTCTATTCTACTCTATTCTCAATAAAGATTCTATTCTATTCTCAATAAAGATTCTATTCTATTCTATTCTCAATAAAGATTCTATTCTATTCTATTCTATTCTCAATAAAGATTCTATTCTATTCTATTCTATTCTATTCTATTCTATTCTATTCTATTCTCAATAAAGATTCTATTCTATTCTATTCTATTCTATTCTATTCTATTCTATTCTATTCTATTCTATTCTATTCTATTCTATTCTATTCTATTCCAAGGTCCCTTCCAGCTCTATTCTGATTCTGATTCTTGAAAGAGGACAGCAGTTGATACTACAAATGCTGCAAATGTCGTGTGTCTGCACATTCCTCATCAGGGAAATGGGTAGCCATCTCCCCCACAGCACCAAGAGAGGATTAGCAAAAGAATCAAAGCATCTGGACCCTAACAAAATCAGAAGTGAATGGCCCATTGAAGGAAGAAGCATCCAGTTGCCAAGATCTTTCCCTTTCAATAAATCAAGTTAAAGAAGAATCTGGCTTTTAAGAGGTTAGCGGCTGCTAAGGGAAGAGCGAAATGAATCTGCCTTTGCTAATTTGCCACTTCATCAACACTCTAGATTGCAGTCTGAAACCATCCACATGATATAGGAATTCTAGTCTTATCAGCTTCCAGATTAGGGGGATAAAAGTCCAGGACTGGCTGGGGAATTCTGGGAGTTGAAGTCCGCAGAGCTTCAGGTGAGCAAGGTTGAGAAAAGGGGGTAGTAGTTCCCCACCGCACTGGGGGGGGGGCACTGAAGGGGATACTTCGGTATGAGTTGCTGTTCTGCGTTGTGTTCCGAGATTCGAAGCCCAGAACAGGGACTCATGCAGAGGCAGCCTGTCCAGTTTGTGCGGTGGGGTGTCGTCAACGTAGTGACCGCTGAGACATTTGCACCGATAACGTTAAGACTTGGGGAAGGGGTGTGGGGGGGCAAGGAAAACTTACTTCGGAGGCGATATCTTCTTCACTTCTAGCCATCCTTAACAGCAAGTCGTCTTCATCGCAACCAGGACTTGTTAGAGTGATGTGAGCCACGTCTCTGTGGACCTTCTCCTTGGCCACAGGGGTCAATGCTACCTTCTTTGGTGGCTTGGGGACTTCCGGTGGAGGGGTGGGTGGCTTCTCGGGCTCCACTTCTGCTGGAGGAGTTGGTGGCTTCTCTGGCTCAATCTCTTCTGGAGGAGTTGGTGGCTTCTCTGGCTCAACCTCTTCTGGAGGACTTGGTGGGACCTCTGGCTCAACCTCTTCTGGAGGACTTGGTGGCACTTCAGGCTCAACCTCTTCTGGAGGAGCCTCGGGCTCAACCTCTTCTGGAGGAGCCTCGGGCTCAACCTCTTCTGGAGGAGCTTCGGGCTCAACCTCTTCTGGAGGAGCCTCAGGCTCAACTTCTGGAGGAGCCTCGGGCTCAACCTCTTCTGGAGGAGCCTCGGGCTCAACCTCTTCTGGAGGACTTGGTGGCACTTCAGGCTCAACCTCTTCTGGAGGAGCCTCGGGCTCAACCTCTTCTGGAGGAGCTTCGGGCTCAACCTCTTCTGGAGGAGCCTCGGGCTCAGCCTCTTCTGGAGGGGCTTCGGGCTCAGCCTCTTCTAGAGGAGCCTCGGGCTCAGCCTCTTCTGGAGGAGCTTCGGGCTCAGCCTCTTCTGGAGGAGCTTCGGGCTCAGCCTCTTCTGGAGGAGCCTCGGGCTCAGCCTCTTCTGGAGGAGCTTCGGGCTCAGCCTCTTCTGGAGGAGCCTCGGGCTCAGCCTCTTCTAGAGGAGCCTCGGGCTCAGCCTCTTCTGGAGGGGCTTCGGGCTCAGCCTCTTCTAGAGGAGCCTCGGGCTCAGCCTCTTCTGGAGGGGCTTTGGGCTCAGCCTCTTCTGGAGGAGCCTCGGGCTCAGCCTCTTCTGGAGGAGCCTCGGGCTCAGCCTCTTCTGGAGGAGCCTCGGGCTCAGCCTCTTCAGGAGGAGCTTTGGGCTCAGCGTCTTCTGGAGGACTTGGCAACTTTTCAGAGCTGACGTCTGGTGGCGGCGTGACTTCTTCGGTCGGCAGTATCTCAGTCTCTGCAGAAAACGTTGGCACCATCTCTGGGGTCTCACCCTGAACAGGAGCTTCCTCCTTGCTGCTGATCGATATAGACACCCCCATTTCTTCGATCTCGCTGCTCTGGGCGAGTCGCGGACCGATTTCGTCAACACTCTGGCCGGGGGAGAAGCTTTCGGTTTGCAGGCTCACGGACTGCTGCTGGAGGGAGTTCCTCTGACTCCATTGGATGCTGATTTCAGTCAGCTTCTCGAAACTTTTCTGGTAGTCCATCGCGTCCACACGTTGGACCTGTCCAATCTGGGGGAGCCCACCATGCAAACGGGGGAGAGGAAGGAAGAAAAGATGAAGTCACGGGTTGGTTGGGGGGGAGATAAACATGCAAAGATGGGGGGGTCCTTGCTGCTCTCTGAGCTGGGCTGTTTGCTTGCAGACGTTTCATTACCAAACTAGGTAACTTCATCCGTGCAAGGGCTGCAAAGATGCTTGACACAAACCCCGGAAGCCTGTGCTTTTTAACCTAACCTACTGAATCTGGAGTAGAGCTGCTGAATCTGGATTAGAGATCTCCAGAAGGCTAATGAGTTGGGAGGTTTATGGGAACCGAATACAGATAGTCCTTGACTTATGGCTACAACTGAGCCCAAAGTTTCTATTGTTAAGTGAGACACTTGTTAAGTGAATTTTGCCCCATTTCTTGCCGCCGTTGTGAAGCGGATCACTGCAATTGTGAAGTTAGGAACACGGTTGTTAAGTGAATCTGATTTTCCCCAATGACTTGGCTGGTCAGAAGGTTGCAAAAGGGGATCACAGGACCACGGGGAGACCACAATGGTCGTTAAGTGTGAAAAATAGTCATATGTCACTTTTTACAGTGCCGCTGTAATTTTGAGCAACCACTAGTTGGTAGAGTTTCAACAGACTTTTTACTGTAATTCTGACAGAACAATTAGCCAATGGAACAGAAGTTGCCTCCAGAAATTGTTCAACTTCTGGAAGTTTTTAAAAAAGAAACTGGACAACCATTTGTCTGAAATGGGATAGGGTTTCCTGCTTGAGCAGGGGGTTGGACTAGATGACCTCCAAGGTCCCTTCCAACTCTTCTATTCTATTCTATTCTATTCTACTCTACTCTACTCTACTCTACTCTATTCTACTTACTCTACTCTACTCTACTCTACTCTATCTACTCTACTCTACTCTATATTCTATTCTATTCTATTCTATTCTATTCTATTCTACTCTACTCTACTTACTCTACTCTACTCTACTCTATCTACTCTACTCTACTCTACTCTACTCTACTCTACTCTATATTCTATTCTATTCTGTTCTGTTCTATTCTATTCTATTCTATTCTACTCTACTCTACTCTACTCTACTCTACTCTACTCTACTTACTCTACTCTACTCTATCTACTCTACTCTACTCTACTCTATATTCTATTCTATTCTATTCTATTCTATTCTATTCTATTCTATTCTATTCTATTCTATTCTATTCTATTCTATTCCAAAATATTGTTTGGTCTTTCAAGTGGCTGATTGGTATTTTTCAGGCTGGATCTGATAGCTTTGAGCATTTCTTTAGCAAGGTAAAAAAATTGACCACAATTTAGTCCTCAACTTATGACTTATGGCTTAGCTTAGTTACAATCAGGGCTTTTTTTCTCATAGAACTCCCAGAATGGAGTTCCGGCACCTTTTTTGGATGGAACCTTGTAGGGTAGGCAAGGTGGGTTGTATGACGTATGTGAGATCTGGCACCTTTTTTTTTTTTTTTTTTAGAAAAAAAGCACTGGTTACAATGGATCTTAATGGGGGTGAACTTCCCACCAAGATCTGCTGCTTGCCCCTCCCCCATGATCATGTGACTTTGAGCACTCGGCAACCAAGCCATATTATGGCCATTTGCAGGATCCTGTGGTCATGTGACTCCATTTTATGACGTTTTTGCTGAAAACCAGCATTTACTTCCAGTTTTCAGCAAAATCATCCCTTACCAAGTCCCCCCCAAAATATCAATATCAAATACAGACCCAATTTATGATGGTCATCTTTAATTTTAAACAAATATATTTTGATTTTTTTTAAATTAAAAAAAATTAAGTTAAAATTTTTAAATTGAAAATATTTTAACATTTTTTTTAAATTTGAAAATGCTCAAATTTTGTTAAATGTTTTACAAATTATTTTTAATTAAAATTTAATTAAAAATAGTTTTTAAAATTTTTTTAAATATAAAATGTTAATTTTTTTAAACAGAAGCTTAAAATTTTTAAATTGAAAATATTTTAACTTTTAGATGTTTCAAAATTAAAAATGTTATTTTTTAATATATAATGCTCAAACTTTTTAAACGTTTACAAATTATTTCTTCATTAGAATAGTTTTTTTTAATTTAAAAAACATTTTTTTAAAAATTAAAACGTTAAAATTTTTAAATTAAAATGTTAAAATTTTTAAATTTAAAATATTAAAACTTTGAAACATTAACAAAGCTTAACGTTTTAAAATTTCAAATATTTTAACTTTTTCAAAATTAAACCTGGGAGTTGCTTTCATCTTAAAAAGTTTAACTTTTTTTAAAAAAGTTTTACCCATGTAATTTTTAAATTAAAACCTAAAGTTCTTTAAATTTTAAAAAAACTTTTTGAAGTTTTAAATTAAAAAAATTTAAATTTAAAAAACTCAGACTTTTAGGTTTTTAAATGTTAAGCATTTAAATCTTTTTAAGTTAAAAAAACATTTGTAAACGTTTTACCCATTTAATTTTTAAATTAAAATCTAAAGTTCTTTAAATTTAAAAAAAACTTTTCAAAGTTTTAAATTTAAAAATTTTAAAATTAAAAAACTCAAGACTTTTAGGTTTTTAAACATTAAGCACTTAAATCTTTTTAAGTTAAAAAAAAAACATTTGTAAAAGCTTTGCCATTTTTAACATTTTAAAAAATGCACCCATCCCAGAAGGCAATAGTAGAAGACGGAAAAGGGAGGCGGAGCTTACCAAATCAATGGTTTGCTGGAGCTGTGCCAGATTGTCTTCGGTGTTCTTCCGGGCCAACCTTAGCTTGCTCAACGCCATCATGTAGGCTCGCTGGCGGAGTTTCCCGGAGAGGTTGCTGATGCGGGCGAAACACACCTGCATCTCATGATCGGTGGTGGAATCGTCCAGCTCTTCTACTGCTTTCTTCAGGTTTGCTGAGCAGGCAAGCACACAAGCAGACAACCTCACTTTAGAGTCCTTGTGATGGCCCAGGGCACAGCACCGAGGCAATGCAAACCGCCATTTAATTGCTCCAAATTTCCCCCAAATGCTCCCACGTTTCTGGCCAGCCTCCAAACAAAGGAAGACACACACACCTTCAGCCTCCTCTGGCTGCAAGCAGTTTCACATACAGCCTGATTAAGAGAGGAATTTACTCAAGGCCACGGAGATAACAAGGAATGACACATACAGCATAAACCTAACGAGTCTGTGTGAATACATGCTTGCCTGAGCAGTTTCAAAAGGGAAGCCAAAATACAGTCTGAGATCTTTGAACATCCAAGCAACGTTGTCAGCCAGTCCAAGGGTCAGAGTTTCCGGGTTTCCAAGCAGAAGTGACAGAACAAGAGATCAGCAACAACACACACAAAACTCTAAGGAATCAGCATTTGTGTCAGAATCCAATTATATTTCATCTTTAATTATCAAACATAGAAACTCCCAATTCTGCCTTCTCTGGATTCTGCCATAAGAGGGAGAAAAGGGGGAGAGCAAAGGGGCTTTATGGCCCTCACTTCCTTCAGCACACTTCAAAGGACTGAATGTGTGTTTATTGTGGCCTCTAAGCTTTAACATATCAAAGAAGAGTAATTGCCTTTCATGTAGTTATCTGAAGTCTCCATCCAGACGGAAGAAGAAAGGGGATGGAATTGTGATACTTGAAACTATCACTGGAAGGGGGGTTGATTGGGTGGGACTACTGGGGAACCCCTTAAAACCTTGAATGGGAGAGCTTGAACCCCAAGTCCTGTCTAGCATGCCTGCAACCATTTTCTCTTAATAAAGGATTCCTGTTGGAAGAATTATTCCAAGAGTTCTGTCTTCTTAAGATGCAAAGTGGGGTGGGTCCTCACATTAGACAGGACTTGCAAAATTAATCCACCTGGAAGGAAGACCCTTGCCGGGGGATTTTGCAAAAATTTACCATGTCAGACAATGGAGCAAAAGAGGGGGAAAACTCCCTGGAAAAAGAGCCGCTGACCCAGTTGGAACCTTGCCAGATGTTGGGATCCGAGAGGCCAGATTCCTCAGGAGAAGAAGTGGTGGAGACACAGGACCACAAGCCTCGCTGGTCGATGGGCGTTGGAAAGAAAAGTGAGTGGGGAAAGGAATCAAGAAAGGTGACCCTGAGACGGGGGACCAAGCAACCAGAATGGAAGCAGGAGATGGAGAAATCCCTGCACGCAAGTGAAGAGGGAGGAAGCTGGGCACCGTACTCAGACTGGATCCTAGAGAAAGCTATTGACCTGATGAAGAGAACTCTCAGCTCCCTAGGAGAGGAGAATACTGAGCCCTACGGCCGCCCCAGTTCCTGGAGCCGCAAAGGGAGAGACACCGAGGGGGACGTGGAACCTGCAACCCCAGGGACATCTACTGATCCAGGAGCTCCCACCCCCTACCGGACCACAGATGGCAATCTGGACGGAAGACACTACCACCCACAACAGAGACACCGATCCATTCCAAGACATCCACCGTTGGAAGTGAAATTCAAAGGGGAGCCAACACGCTTGGGATTTTTCCTAACCCAAGTCCTCAGCTACATGGAGGAATATGGGCAGGATATTCCCAGCGACAAAGCCCGCATCCGGATCGTGCAATCTGCCCTGGATGGACCAGCTGCGGATTGGGTAGTGAACTTGCATGACTCCAATGCCCCAGAACTCAGTAACTTCAACCGTTTCATGTCCTCTTTGAGAAGACGATTTGCAGACCCCCTGGCTGATCGCAAAGCCCGTGAAAAAATAACAACGATGAGGCAGGGCAAACGCCCAGTGGCTGAGTATACACAAGAATTCCGGGGCCATTGCCAGCAAACTGAATTGGCAAGAAGACATCCTCCTTAGCCATTTCAAAGACGGACTAAATTATGATCTATATGACGCTTGCCTGCCCCGAGGGGACCCACACCGACTTGAGGAATGGTACATCTTGGCAGAGGAAGCAGAGATCGACATAATGAAGAGGCACCGCCGAGGAAAACAATGGAGCCGCCCCCCGCCTGAGCTGACACACCAACCGGTGAAATCATCGGATACAGCCAAGAAGCAAATGAGATGTTTCAAGTGCGGAAGAGAAGGGCATCGAGCTGTAGAATGCCGCTCAAAGGCCCCCCAGCACAACCAAGACAGATCCCCAATCAACAAACCCGGAAAGTATTCAGCTAAGCCAAAAGAAACGGCCATGAGAATGATGGAAATTGCAGAAACCCCCACCTCTGCTCACCAAAGGGAAAGGACTCCAGCCTACACCACAGGGCCGGTGGATGCCTCAGAGGACAGCTCGGAGGGCGAACCCCTGGTAAGTGGATGCATCACACCCATCTTCAAAACAGTGACTATATTAATCCCCCCCATGCCCGAAGCTGTGAAGGTGAAAGCCTTAATAGACTCTGGCTGTACCCGCTGCCTCATTAGCCCAACACTAGTGGGGAATCTGGGCATCCCATCCAGGAGACTGGAACAACCAATCTCATTTGGCCAGCTAGATGGATCCATAGCAGGGGGGGTGCCAGCTACCCTAGCCACTTTGCCAATACATCTCTCCATGGGCAACCATGAAGAGGACTTAACGTTTGTGGTGACCCCAGGTATGGAATGCCCAATGATTCTAGGGATGGAATGGTTGAAAAAATGGAACCCCTGGGTAAATTGGAGGACGACAGAAATCAAATTCCCGACGGGGGACCCTATGGACTTAAAACCCCCCCAAATGTTTCCCCCCCCCATCCCCTCCCTTCTTTTTTCCCTTTCTCTTCGTCTTCCGCGCTTTCTCCCTTTTTTCCTCCCCTTCTATTCCTCCCCTCTCCTATCGTATTCATTGCTTTCCCCCTTGCGGCGTCAGTGGTTCACGTGGCCGGAGGAGGCTACCAGACTATCAAGAATAGAAGAAAGCATTCCATTAGAGAGGAAATAATGATTAACAGTAAAATCACCAGAGGAATATAGGACCTTGCTGAAGGTCTTCACCGTGAGGATGAGGGCGAATGAGCTTCCCCCCCACCGACCCAACAGACTGTACACATTGAATTACAAACAGCCTGGGCAAAAACTCCCGAAGGCCCAGATTATACTCCATGAGCCCAAAGGAGAAGGAGGAAATGGAAAGATTTTTAAAAAAAAAACCTGGAGAGAGGTTTCATTGAGCCAGCCAAGCCTAAAGTGGCTGCCCCGGTCCTTTTTAGAGAGAAGAAGGATGGCTCTTTACGTTTATGCGTGGATTATAGGGCCCTGAACACAATCAGTGAAAGCAACCTTTACCCGCTGCCCCTCATGAAAGACATGCTGTCACACCTATCGAAAGGGAAAATTTTTTCTAAACTAGACTTAAGGGAAGCTTACTATCGAGTGAGAATCAAGGAAGGGGACGAATGGAAGACTGCATTTAACTGCCCCATGGGTGCTATCAATTCAAAGTCTTGCCATTTGGATTACAAGGGGGCCCTGCAGTCTTTATGCAATTAATCAATGACGTTCTAAGGGAGCACCTGTTTAAGGTGGTCCTTGTTTACTTGGACGACATTCTTATCTTTACCGAAACAAAAGAAGAACACGTCAAACTTGTCAGAGCGGTTTTAAAGAAGCTGCGAGCCGCCCACCTATATGCCAAACTCTCAAAATGCGAATTCCACCAGGAAAGGATAGACTACCTAGGCTATCGCATATCCACACAGGGCATTGAAATGGACCCAGAGAAGGTCAGAGCAGTATTAGAATGGGCACCACCCCGCACAAGAAAGCAACTACAAAGTTTCCTGGGCTTTGCAAATTTTTACCGCCAATTCATCCCCTCATTTGCACAGATAGCCTTGCCCCTCACTAACTTACTAAAGACGAAGGGAACATCCTCAGTAAAACCTAGCCAGCCACTAAAATGGACAATGGAGTGCCAAGCAGCGTTTGAGAGACTAAAGAGACTTTTTTCTGCCGAACCAGTACTAAGGCACCCAGACATGGACAAACCCTTCATAATACAGGCAGATGCAAGTGATGTGGCAGTGTGGGCTGTGCTATTACAAGAAAATGATGATGCAGTATTGCAACCCTGTGCATATACATCTAAGAAACTCACGGAAACAGAACAGCGCTGGCCCGTATGGGAGAAGGAGGCTTATGGGATACGTTGGGCATTACTCACGTGGCGACAGTTCCTGGAAGGCAACAAAATCCCCTTCCAGGTATGGACTGATCACAAAATTTTAGAAGCCCTGAAAACTCCCAGGAAACTCAATCCCAAACAAGCCCGCTGGTCCCAGCATTTTCACCAATTCCAATTTAAGCTCAAACATTTACCAGGAAGTAAGAACTTCCTGGCAGATGCACTATCTCGCATGCCCCAATATAACAGCGCACGAACCACAGACTCTAGACCAATAATGGCAGAGTCACAACTGGCAGCGCCAGTAACCACAAGAACCCAAGACAAAATAAAACCACAACTGGACAGCCAAACTGGGATTGAATTCAGAAAAAGTTTGGAAACAGATGATTGGTTCCAGAAAAACAAACATGTGTGCACAATGAGAGACGGATTGCCTTGGGTAGGGGGAAAGTTATATATACCAACAACTCAAAGACTAACTTTCATGCAACTTTGCCATGACACAAAATCAGCAGGGCATTTTGGATTTGTAAAAACTTTACACTTAATTAAACGGCAATTTTTGTGGCCATCAATAAAAAAGGACATAGAAAGTTATGTTGCCAGCTGCCCAACCTGTGCATCAGCAAAGAGGTTGCAAGGGACATCGCCAGGGCTGTTACAACCAGTGGCAAGTCCCTCAGCCCCCTGGA